GCCGGTGCACCCCATTTTCTGTGGCCGTTCGCCGTTCGCTATGCCGCTCACCAGCTTAACCAACGGCCGCAGGTTTCGCCGACCCTCCTTTGGACCGGGTCCCCCGGTGACGCGTCTGCGTTCCACGTGTGGGGCTGCCTTGCTCACGTTCGTGCCTCTGGCACAGACAAGCAAACTGCCCGCACTGTTCCCTGTGTCTTCCTTGGTTTCCCCCTGGACTCGTCTGACTGGCTCTTCTACCACCCGCAATCTCACCGCTTCCTCCACTCTCGTGAAGTCACCTTTGACGAGTCCGTCTCCTTCTACCGTCGCTTCCCTCACCGAGGTCTCCCGTTTCCCCCCCCCCCTGTTCCTTGCCCCCTCTCTCCCGGTAGCCCCTCCTCCCCTCTCGCTGCGTCCTGCCCCGTCTGGTGTCTCCCATGTCACTCCCCTCCCGTCAGTTGTCCCGGTTGAGGAGTCTGCTGACTCTAGTGGTCCCCCCGCCCCGCCTTTGCCGCGTCCCCCTTCCCTAGTGTCTCCGCCCCCGCTGTCGCAGCCGCCGCCGTCACAGCCGCCTCCGCCGCCGCCGCTCTTGGCCTCTGGAGGTGCTGGCGCTGAAGAGGGTGTTCGTCCTGCGGAACCTGGTGTGGTCTGTCCCGGCGGGCCTGGGGGTGCCGCTGGGGCTGGAGAGGGTTCTCGCTCTGGGGTGTTGGTTCTGGGGGTGGTGCTGTTGAGTGTTCTCCCGGAGGTCGTCGTGCCCCTGCCGGTTCGAGGGCCGAGCACCAACCGCCGCAGCAGCTGCCGCAGTCGTCGCCGCCGGTCTCCCCTCTTCGCCTACTCGGCTTTCCCTCCCCTGACCGCTCGCCGGTGTCTCCCCCACCTCCTCCTCCCCTTCCTGTCTACAGCCCTGTGTTCCCGCCCCCGGACTCTTCTCTGGCCCGTCTTTCTCCTCGTTCCCCCCTTGTGTCACCTCTGCTGTCTCCTGACCCTACACCTCCATCCCACGTTTGGTCTCGCCGTCCCTCCCGTGCTCGTCCTGTCTCCCCTGTCCCGCGCTCCCATCCTATATTACTCCGTTGTCACTCGTCTCGTCCTCCCTTCCTTCCCTCGCCTCCTCCCTCGTCGCTCGTTGTTGCACCTCCCCCGCTGTCCGACTACCTCCGTGCCGCTCGTCCCCTTGTCCCTCGGGTCCTTGCCTCTCTTGTTACAGACCCGTCAGTTCCTGTCTCCTGCCTTGACGCGCTTGTTGCTGCTGTCGTTGACTTCGCCTCTACCCATCGCCTTGACTACGCTACCGCTCTGGTCTCTGACCCTGCCCGTCCTGCGTCCGTAGGGGGGGTGCACCTACCCTTGGCAGTGACGTACTAGAGGACAGGCAGTACGAGCTTGCTCTCCTTTCCGAGGCCGCTCCCCATCTCTGCTCCATGCTCCTAGCTCCTAGTCCAAGAGGGTGACCCAGACGCCTTCGACATCCTGACCCCTCGCACCTACGCTGAGGCCACCTCGGGACCCTGGGCCTCTCAGTGGATAGCTGCCATGGAGCAGGAGATGGCATCTTGGAGGTCCACCGGCACTTACGTTGACGCAGTTCCCCCGCCTGGGGTGAACATAGTCGATGGTCGGTGGCTCTTCAAGGTGAAGCGCCCCCCTGGAGAGCCGCCTGTCTTCAAGGCGCGCTACATGGCCAGAGGCTTCAGCTAGCGTGAGGGGGTTAACTTCTTCCAGACCTTTGCCCTGACCCTGAAGATGACCACTCTTCGAGCGCTGCTAGACGTAGCAGCACAGCGCGACTGCGAGCTCCACTCCCTCGACTTCTCTACTGCCTTTCTTCAGGGCAGCCTACACGAGCAGGTCTACCTGCGTCGACCACAGGGCTACACTGGTACCTTCCCCCCTGGGACCCAGTGGCTTTTCAGGCGCCTGGTCTACGGCCTGCGTCAGGCTCCCCGCGAGTGGCATGACACGTTGCGTGCCACGTTAGCAGACCTGCAGTTCTTTCCGTCCTCTGCTGACCCCTCGCTGTTTGTGCGTTCCGGCCAGACTCCGTTCTACATCCTTGTCTACGTAAACGATCTGGCCTTCGCTACTGCTGACAGGGACGCACTGGCCTCTGTGAAGGCCGAGCTGCTGAAGAGACACACCTGCACTGACCTTGGAGAGCTGCGTCGCTTTCTTGGCCTGCACATCTCTAGGGACAGAGCAGCACGCACCATCACTCTGACCCAGTCACACTTGGTGCGTCAGGTCCTTCAGAGGTTCGGTCTTCAGTTCTCCTCCGCACAGCCCACACCTCTACCTGTAGACCATGGGCTCTCAGCTCCAGTTTCTGAGGAGCCAGTAGAGCCCAGTGGACCCTACGCAGAGCTGGTGGGTTGCCTCATGTACCTGATGACTTGCACTCGCCCAGATCTTGCATACCCTCTTAGCATCCTGGCTCGCTTTGTGGCCACTGGCAGACACCAGCCACAGTAGTGGTCGGCCGCTAAGACGGTTTTGCCATATCTAGCAAGTACATCGGGCATGGGGTTAGTGCTAAGAGGACGGAGGCCGGTGGTTCTCACTGGGCACACAGACGCTTCTTGGGCAGACGATGCTGAGACTCTCAGGTCGTCGCAGGGCTACTGTTTTAGCCTTGGTTCGGGTGCTATCTCTTGGAGATCCACTCGCTCGTCGTCTGTTGCTCAGTCCAGCTGTGAGGCTGAGATCTACGCTGGTGCCATGGCAGCACAGGAGCTCCGCTGGCTGACCTTCTTGCTCACTGACTTAGGTGAGCGGCCTAGCTCTGCCCCGGTCCTGTACGCTGACAACAGGGCCATGATCCTCCTGTGTCAGGAGCCTCGGCTTGAGGGCAGAGCGAAGCATATCCAGCTGTGGTACTTCCTCCTGCGCGAGCTACAGCAGCGTCGCCAGGCCCGTGTAGTTCACTTGGCCTCCGGTGCCAACACAGCTGATATCTTTACTAAGGCGCTTGCGCCTAAAGATCATCAGCAGCACTGTGTACAGCTTGGTCTTGTTCCTGTAGCTTCTCATTTGCTAGGGCCATGATTGTGTACTCTCTACTATATATACCTGTCTGACTGGCCTTGTGGCCTTACCTCCAGTGGCTGGACTAGTAGTGCCGCCCTGGCTTGCTTTAGTCTTGTTTGTTCTCTTGCTGACTGGTCTCCGGACCCCTGCCTCAGTGGTTGGACTAGTAGTGCCACCTTGAGCTGTGTGCTTCTTGCTTAGCACCATCCCTTATCTAGCTTAGGGGGTGTGTCAACTTATACATATGTTCTATGTAGAAGTTATAGGCTAGACTTGGTGTGTGCTTCTAGTGAGTACAACCCAGCTTGTATATGTTCTAGGTTTCTCCTTCTAGTAATCATTTACGTATTCTAACACCATGCTGATGTTGGCAACTTACAGGCCGGTCGAAGATGTAATTGGGGGAGGAAGGTTTACGTTCGTCATTTCACCAGTTTCCGCTCGTCCAAATAGCCAGTGACGGGTTGTTCGTCGATCCCTTGGGCGAAGCCGCATGTGGTCGCTAATTATCGCCAAGTATTTCGGAACGCTGCCGGGTTAGTTGCTCTTGCTATCCTTGACTTATTATTGGTGTGATCGTGTCGTATCGTGTTGTGACGTGTCGTGTCGTGTCTGAGGCAGCCGGCTCCGAAGTGCATATATCTCATATTCAGCTTGGGCCGTTTCAGCTCGTAGACGCGTTAAATTCTGCTGGTACAACTCGTGAGTAACACAGACTTCTTCAAGTGCTGCCGCCCTTTTTTTCAGGAGTCATGGCAGTAGACGCTGACGGATTCACAATTTGGCGGAAATTTCGGGCGACTTTTAGCACGCTGGCACTGCGAACATAGTCGTGGGGTATAGGTAATTATCAATGAATATTACCCGGACAGCGGATAAGCACAGGGCGTCAGCCTCCCTAAATGTCGGTATTGCAACGGAACCAGAGCGCAAGGCTGAGGATCGTTGGCTCTGATACCATGTGTAATGAGGCGCAAAGAGCGCGCGTCGAATGATTGATTAGCGAGGAAACAATATAATTAAGCAACATTAAAACAACATGGAGCATGGATACAGCTAGCCTAGGAGCACACGGCCGTGGCTCGGCAGAGCTGCGACGTGTGGTTTGTACATTGACGCGAAACGCCCAGATCTAGGCATGCAACAGCAAGACGGGCAACAATGGATGCGGCTCGTCAGGAGACCACATTTGGGACAGCGATTTGAATTTCGTGGCAGAGCTGCACAGCAGTCCCGTTATAGCAGTGTATGCCTTACTGACTAAAATCCATGATAAGGAAATACAATTTCCTTACAAAAGCACATGAACGAGTTCAGATTTCTGCTTTGAGTGAGTTTCATTGTTGTGTGAACATTGGAAAGATCACACAATCAAGTTCACTGTACTTTATTACACTACTATTGTTCGCACTTCGGCACAAGAAGGTCCAGAAAGTGCAAGCAAGGAATTGCCTGACACCCTCGTTACTGTAGCAGCTTAACCGTGTCCCTCCCGCCTAGCCCAAACAGATTTCTTGAAAACCGACTTCCATTCTACAGCCCTTGAGAAGTTCTGCTGGTTGGTCTTTGCTGGTTCAAAATTCTGTTGCTGCCCTAAGTCGTGGTCTTTTGTGTGTTGCTCTGCCTCCTTGGGATTATCTGGTGCGGTGCAGTTATGGGCAGCGAGGAGGACATCGCACATGACGTTGCGGTGCGAAGCCGAACCCATTGTTCTGTAGCGTTACGGATATGAGTAAATCGCACTGTACCGTGCTGTAATGTTATGTATAGTTTGCCGTTACGGCCTGGACTGCCTGGTGTTCCACCCCTTCGATCCATCCCATTCCAACCTTGGAAACTCCAGGCTAGGGCCGTACATTCCTGTGACATGTCTCGGCACCGAAGTGGAACGCTTCAGAACGTTTTATAAGCTTAAAGCACCGTATTCTTTTGCTTTATCCTGACACCCTCGATGTCATCACCTGCTCACTCGATGTGTGTGTGATGCTTTCAGTATGCACAGTACAACGCTCACTCTACCAGCAGAGTACCTGCTAGGTCCAGCTAACCTAGAAGGATTTCTTGGTCAAGTTCTGACCTTGGCGTGATTAGCCGGGGGGTGGTTTCTATCGGTAGATTCGTATTGAACTCCGACATCAAAGTTGTGCTAGTGTCTTGAACTCCGTATTTATAGGCAGTTCGTTCTTTTTAATAATAAGACATATTTACCGTGTGATCCTAGTTCCTGCGACTTATGATCTTCGAGTCGAACGCCGTTCGCCATTTGCGAACTGTGCAATAGTCGGCTATATACAAGCAAGTTATTAGATTTGAGCGGAAACATTTTCCCTGTGATCCTAGTTATGGACGAGTTATGGGTGGAGTCGCCACGCGCGGATGACGACAACCCTAACAACCCCGATTTCCATTCCGCTCCGTTGTTCCTTCAGAATCAAAGGCAATCCTCCCAGGAGCACCACCAAAGCCATGGCGGAGCATCTATCAACGGGGACGACGACAACGCTGATTCGCTTAAGTCTCCCACAATGCCCGCCGGATGCGCTGTTAATTTCCTCAAGCCAGCCAATCAGAATCGCCAGCGCTCCGGCAGTGTGCGTCAGCGCGTGTGGAACAAGGTGCAGCGCGCCACGTCACTCTCTGCCATGGATCTTCAAACCTTCGTGCGCTCGCTTTCCCAGGACCCGAAACCCGCTCATCCATTCATACCTTCCAACGGCGCGGAAGGCGGAGAGGTGCGTGGAGGGGCGCAGCAGGTGCGGGGAGGAGATGGCGGTGTAGGACAGTCGCGCGGAGCAGCGCAGGCGCAAGCCTCTTTATTTTCCGGGTCTGAAGTCAGCGGAGATAGAGATTTTCCCTCCACGGTTGGCCCCGCAGCTTCCCCCAATGGCTTCCCCGCGAACCTCTCTGGCGCAAGCGGAAGCCGTTCCGCCGGCGGCGGATCCCACTGGGCCCTGGCGCGTTCCGCGTCAGACGCGCTGCACCAGATGTTCGGGGATAAGGGGGAGGCCAGTGGCGGAAGCCAGCGGGGAGCAGCGGGGAGAAACCACGGGCCTGCCGCAAGGGGGAGCGGGGATTCTGTTGGGGGGATTTTCGTACCATTAAAGCAGACTGCACAAGGCGCGTTCTTTTCGCGGCAGCGGAGCTTTTCCGCGAGTGGTGCGGGCTTTTCCGCCATTGGCACAGGCTTTTCCGCCAGCCCTTCCGCTTCTCCCGCTGTCCCCACTTCCTCCTCTTCCGCCTCAGGCGGAGGGCTGGGGGGCTCAGGCGGAAAGGGCGCAAGTTTGGTGGGGTCCAAGGCAGTGCCTCCGTTGCCTGTATCGAGATCCGCTATAGCGAGGTTCAGATTGCCCCGCATGGCGTCAGAGAGCGGGCGGAGGCACAGGGCGTGGCAGGCGGATTTAGGGGAGGAAGACGATGGGGAGCTGCTCGAGGGGGAGGTCGTATCTGATCCGGTGGTAACTGATCCGGTGGGATCTGAGCGGGTGGTAAACAGGGGAGGTTTGTTTGGTGGTGCTGGGAATGGCATGGGAGGATTTGAGGGAGGTATATCTGCGACTGGTGGGGGCGGTTCCAGTAGGGGCGGTTTCGGTGGGAAGAATTTTGGTGGGGGGCAGAGGAGCGGGGGAGGGAGGTTGGGGTCGGAAGGAGGAGCGGATGGGCTCAAGAGTCAGTCAATGCGGTACGATTCGGTTCCAAACAGGTCAAGGGTGTATTCTCTGAGTCATTCCAACATGGATGGGTACCTGGGAGCAACCGTTTCCACCAGCCCTGCTCCTTCTACTGCTGCTGCTGCTGCTGCTGGGACTTTTGGCGGTGGTGATCCTGCTGGTGGTGTTTTTTCTGGCGACGGCTCTGAGAGGTTCTCTAATGGACCCCATCGCATGTTCGGGGCTGAACAGTCGGCCGTGGGAGAAAGCATGGGCGCACTGGATACACGGCATTCGCTCCAGCAGCAGCAGCAGTACCAGCCGCAGCCACAGCAGCAGTTGCCGCCGCCGCCGCCGCCGCCGCAGCAGCAGCAACAGCAAGGTGCGGACGCACAGGCTTTTGGCACTGGAACAGCCCCTGACGCTCAGATTCTCATCATAGACCCAGGAGCGGAGCGAACAGAGCAGTTGGCAGCAGCACAGCAGCGGGCAAGCACTCAGCAGGCGGCAGGCGCATCTCGACCGTCCGTGCAGCAGGCAGCCGGCGGATCCCGGCCGTCCACGGGGACAGGATCGCGCTCAACTGCAGTAGCGTATGTGAGCAAATTCGAGGAGTACAGGAGAAGACTGGCGGAGCAGCAGCAGCAGCTGCAGCAGCGGCATGGGGTGGGGGTGGGGCCAGGTCAAGGGCAGGGGCAGGGGGAAGGGCAAGGGGAGGAGCAAGGGCGAGGGGAAGGGCAGGGGCGGGGGGAGGGGGACCAACAGGCGCAAGAGGAGGGACAGGGGCACGGGGAGGGGTACCAGCAGGGCTGGGAGCGGGGGAAGGGGCAAGGTCCGGATGAGGGCATGGGGGGAGGTATGACCCGTGTTGGGAGGGGTGGTGTGGTTCCTAGAAGTTGCTCCCAGGATGCTTATGCCAGTGCTGCCACTCGCGGGGCTGGTGGGATCGGTGGGGGGAGGAGGCAGGGATACGGCAGTCACAGGGCCTCGCCAGTAGCAGCAAGAGGAGCAGCAGGAGCAGGAGGAGCAGCAGGAGGAGGGGGAAGAGCCGGAGTGGGGGGGAGAGCTGGAGCAGCAGCAGGAGGAGGAAGAGCGAGTGACAGGGGCGGGAGGCCCTTCATGGTAAGGTCAGCGTCTCTGGGCAGCCCTGAGGCCTTCTTGGGCCAGCTGGAGAGAGACGAGGGGGATGAGGGGGACGCAGCGGAATTGGATGGATCTGGGGTAGGCGCAGCTGGGGTAGGCACAGCCGGGCTAGGCAGGGACCCTATTGAGAGTGCATCGGCAGTTGGTGGGGGAAGTATCGGTCGGGTGAGTGGCCGGGGTCGGGGTGGCGGCGGTGGTAGTAGAGGTGGTGGTGGCGGTAGGGGTGGGGGTGGTCGGGCCACTGTGTCTGCCACACTCTCTCTTCGGAATTACGAGATGTTCCGACCGTCGTCTGCACTAGGGTCATCATCGTCATCAGCAGTAGCATCAGCATCATCATCGTCATCATCATCATCAACAGTAGCTGCTGCTGCACTAGCGTCGCCGTCAGCTGAAGCTGAGGATGAGGATGACGGGCTGGCCCCTGTGGACCCTCTGTCAACTGCCAACTCCCTGGGTGGGGCTACTGCTAGAAAGGCCAGTCATGGGAGAGGGAGTGGCAGTGGCGGGAGCAATGGCTGTGGGCGGGGCCGGGGTAACCCTAACTCTACCCCGGGTAACCGCCGCCTGCTTCGTCGGCACACAGACGACCCCACTCAGCTGAACCGCGTCCAGACGCCCGATGCCCTCTCAGCCTTCCCCGCTGTGCCCTCCCGCTTTGGCCCGGGGAACATGCAGCGCCCTTCGCCCTCTCTTGCCCAACGCCCTTCCTCTGCTCTTGCGCAGCGGCCCTCCTCCTCTCTTGCCCAACGCCCCACCTCCTCGTCTTACCACCGCCCCTCTTCTGTCTCCCAGCGGGAGATGCAACACGGGCAGCTTCAACTGCAGGGGCAGATTCAGCAGCTGGGGCAGATGCAGCAGCAGGGGCAGATGCAGCAGCTGGGGCAGATGCAGCAGCTGGGGCAGATTCAGCAGCAGGGGCAGATGCAGCAGCTGGGGCAGATGCAGCAGCTGGGGCAGATGCAGCAGCAGGGGCAGATGCAGCAGCTGGGGCAGATGCAGCAGCTGGGGCAGATGCAGCAGCAGGGGCAGATGCAGCAGCAGGGGCAGATGCAGCAGCAGGGGCAGATGCAGCAGCAGGGGCAGATGCAGCAGCTGGGGCAGATGCAGCACCTAGGGCAGATGCAGCACCTGGGGCAGATGCAGCAGCAGGGGCAGATGCAGCACCTGGGGCAGATGCAGCAACAGGGGCAGATGCAGCAGCAGGGGCAGATGCAGCAGCAGGGGCAGATGCAAACACAGGGGCAGATGCAGCAGCAGGGGCAGATACAAGCACAGGGGCTTGTACAAGGGCAGTCAAAGGGCCAAGTGCCGTCCCATTCCTCTCCAGTTCGGCAGCGGCTGGACCCCTCTCCCTCCTACAGCGCTCCTGATTCAGCCCAGGAGCAGCAGATTCTTCGGCCCTCCACATCCTCCTCCTCTCCCCTTCAACAGCAACCCAGCCTATCCTCTCTTCCTAGTTTTCAACCAGCCCGAGACCAGCAGATTCCTCGACCCGCTACCTCTTCCTCCCCGCTTCGGCAGCGGCCGAACCCCTCTCCTTCCAGCAGCGCTCTTGATTCCGCTCAGGAGCAACAGCTGCCTCAGCCCGCTACGTCCTCCTCTCCCCTTCGGCAGCGGCCAAACCCCTCTCCCTCTTGCATTGAGTCTGATACAGCTCAGAATCAACAGGTGGCTCGGCCCTCCACATCCTCCTCTCCCCTTCGACAGCGCCCCAAGTCTTCCTTCCCCCAGCACAGTGTTAATTCGATGCATGACCAGCAAAGCCCTCTACCCGTTACGTCCTCCTCTCCCCTTGGACAGCGGCCGAGCCCCTCTCCCTCCAGCAGTGCTCTTGATTCCTCTGAAGCGCAAAAGGTGCCCCGACCCTCCACCTCCTCCTCTCCCCTTCGAACCAGGCCTAATCCTTCCTCTCCCCTCGAGAGTCCCGACTCAAGGCCAGACCACCAGCCTCCTCGACCCTCTACCTCGTCCTCTCCGCTTCGCCCAACGCCCAATGCGCCTCCCTCCCGCCGTGCCTTCTCAGGCCCTCTCCAGCCTTCCTCCTCTCGCAACAGCAGCAGCAACAGCAGCAGCAGCAGCAGCAGCAGCAGCAGCAGCAGCAGCAGCAGCAGCAGCAGTTACAGGAATCAGCGGCCGGCCCCAGTGAATTGCCTCCCTCGCCGGTCCTCCGCTCGATTACTGAAACCGCAGAGCCAGACTTCCAGCTCTCAGAACCACGGGGCGTCTCAAAACTTGTCTCCTGCTGGCTCGCCTCAGCCCAGCCCTGTGAGAAGCCCGCACGGGAGGCAACTCCCCTTTCCTCCCCCTCGTTCTCCTCTCTCTCCGCTTGCTCAGGTAGAACAACATCACCAGCAGCAGCAGCAGCAGCAACAGCAGCAGCAGCCACAGGAGCCTGAGTTTCCCGGTGCAGGGAGCAACGTTGCAGCCGCAGTCAGGGGCTCGTCAGTTGGGGGCAGTGGGGCACACAGCACATTGCAACTGCCTCACAGTCCACAGCGCATGGTCATACACCATGCTCCCACCCAGGCTCCCGATTATGCTCCCACCAGTCCTGTTCACGCACTAGTGCATGCCCCCACCAGCCCCTCCCGCAGCATGCATGTGCCATCTGCTCAAGCGCCACTGCACTCCCCCCATGCGCCTCTGCACTCTCCCCATGCGCCCCTGCTCTCCCCCCATGCGCCCCAGCAGTTTCAAGCGCCTCTGCACTCCCCCCATGACCTTGCAACCCCCCATTCCCCTGGGCACTCCTTTCAACCCCAACTTCACTCCCCCCATGCGCCCCTACACTCCCCCCAGAGTCTCACCCACTCCCTTCATTCCCCCTTGCGCTCCCCGCAGCAACAAGTGCACTCTCCCCATGCCTCTATTCACTTCCCCCATGGTCTCACACACTCCCCACACTCGCCGTTGCACTCGCCGTTGCACTCCCCTCGGCAGCAACCAAACTTTCCAGGTGCACCCATGCTCTCCCCCCATGCGCCCACCCACTCCCTTCATTCCCCTGTACACTCTCTTCAGCAGCAACTACTCTCTCCCCAAGCGCCCATGCACTCCCCCCACGCGGCCATGCACTTCCCCCAAGCGCCAGTGCACTCCCCCCGTGCAGTCACCCACTCCCCACATGCCCCCCAGCACTCGATCTTCCAGCTTCCTCAGAATCCCACGCCCTCCCTTCTTTCCTCCCAACAGTCTCTGGACCCTCCCTTGGTCTTCCCCCAATCTCCCCACTCCCCCTTGCACTCGCCCCCCCACGCACTCCACCCCGCTTCGCACAGTTACCAGCAGTCTGCTCCTGCTCCCACCCTCTCAAGTTCCAGCCGGCAGCAAGCCCTTGGTTCTGATATCTCAAATTCCTCAGTGCCTACTCTTACACAGGAACTGAGCTTTGATTTGAGATCGACGAACCAAGGGGGGCTTGCTGTGACACAGGTCCGGGGTCAGGTAACCGAGGCTAGGAACGAGGCTGACAGACAGGTTTTGGGACCTGGTTTGGCGGATAACAGTGTGACTGTATTGGACTGTGACAGTGGCGACCTGTTTTCGTTTGAGCAGGAGAGTAGGGAAGTGGCTGGTGGGGGGGTGAGCGTGCGTGCACGAGAGGTGATGCGTGTGCACGGGCAGAGTTTTGAGACGCCTCGTAGGTCGATCGAGGCGCCTCGAAAGTCGTTTGAGGCGCCTCATAATTCATATGAAGCGCCTCGGAACTTGTTTGAGACGCCCCATAAGTCGTTAGGGGCGCCTGATAAGCCATCTGAGGAGAGCAGAAGCATGGCTGGTGGGGGAGTGAGCGGGCTTGCACAGGAGGTGATGCGAATGCATGGGCAGGAAGAGAGTGATGGGAACCAACAGCAGCTGCTGCTGCTGCAGCAGCAGCAACAATACCAGCAGCAGCAACAGCAACAGCAGCATCAGCAAGAGCAAGAGCAACAGCAGCAGCAGCAGCAGTTGCTGCAGTTTGCAAGGCAGCAGTTTTCCCTCCCAACTTCCTCCACAGCATCACCCCACCTTCCCACATCAAGTGCGCTCTTCTATCCACCCTCAGGTCAAACCGAACAAAGCCTTTTGCAGCAACACTCTGGAACCACCCCGCACATCTCCCCCCCTCCTTCGTACACATCCTCCTCTCCCTCTAACCCTCCTTCCTTCTCTCACGTCTCCCCTCCTCCCTCCTTCGCCCATGCCGAATCCTCCCTCCCCTCCCATTCCCCGACGCAAAACCACTTCACAAACACACGCAGTCTTCACACCACTGACCCCACTACCTCGCCACTGGATAATCTACCTCGTATGCACACCAACCCGCTACACTACAGGCGGCCTTACAACACTCACCTCCCTCGCCGCCCCCCTCGCCCCGCCCCCCCTCAGTCTAGGAGTCCACTGGCTGCAGCAGCTGCAGCTGGGGCTGGTGGAAAGGGGGCGTTTTCTTCATCTAGAATTGGGAATATCAACGGCCAGACTGGTGCTTTGGCTGGTCGTAGCAGTTTCACTGTTGATTCTTGAATTGACTAGAACTGATTCTCCTGGGGGGCTGCATTTGGTAGTAGCGCCAGTACTAGGCAAGGCATACCATTGCTCTGGCCAGTCGTGGTGGTAGTTTCACTGCTGGTGCTCAACTTCAAGGCTCGCAAGCTGGTGCTCTGTTTAAAGGTGGGAGTACTTCTGCTTGCCTTGGCTGGTCGTTAATGGTGTCAATCAAACTTCACCCATCTGGCTTGTAACATATTCATGTGCTTTGTTTATCCTTACCATTGTGGCTAAAACTGAGGTTCCGGTATGGCTTATAGTGTCTCATGTCAAAGCTCTCCTGCAACGCTTTTTAGGGGTGAAAAGGCGGCTTGTTTCCTATGCATACCAAAGCTGGGGAGTTACACTTTTGGCACAGAATAGAGGACCAACTTTTGTAGTAGCTGTGGTAGGAACATTATCCAACCAGCTGTAGTAATTTTACCAGCGTGAGAGTCTGCTTGTTTCAGGAATCTGCTGGCGGCCCTGGTGTCAGTCTTACGGCACTACGTAGGAGAGATCCAGCTGCAGCCCAGTAGCGATCCAGCAGCAGCCCGTTTTTGACACGCGGAGTCGTTTGAAGGTGCGTAATGTGAATCAATTTGAAACCGATCCCGCTTTGGGAACAAGTCCGGAATGAAGCGTGCGGTTTGGAAGGACAGCACCAGGACCAGCACAGACATAGAGGCGGGTAACGGGGTCCCGGCATGCGAATCCAGCGCAACAAGAGCGTGTAACAAAAGAGGGCCAGTCGGCGCAGGGGGGGTAGGTTGTTCGCTAGCGACGTGTGAGGCTGCAATTTTTCGCGCAACAATTTCGCTACAGGCGGTGCTGGTATTGGTTGGCGTCTTGGATTTTTGTGCGGTCTTTTTTTTTTTTTTTTTTTTTTTTTTTTTTTTTTTTTTTTGGTCCTGTGGAGGTACCTGGAAACGTGCGCTGGTGTCCGCTAATTTTGGGTGTGAGCTGGTGGGGTGCTATTCGGGCGTGTTTTATGGTTACACACCTTAAAAAGGTAACTGAACTCGGTGCTGAATAGAAAACGTACTTTAGTGACACGCTTTAATCTATACGGGACCTTGGAGCAAACGGGTGCTCCAAACGCCCCATTGTGGTATGCACCCGTCGCTGCGTGGAGCAGTTCACTTCAGCGAGGCGTGCAGCCACGTTTCCGACGCCAACTGGCGTTGGTCGCGAGTCGACCCAGACGTTTCAATCTCGCGGATGGCTCGAGGCGGTGATCATTTCGAGCAGCGGCCTCGTTGTCGCCCAGCGTCCTTCCGTCGCTGCTCGGACTCACGCCTCTACTTCAAGTCCCCATTGGAAGAGAACTCACGGAATCCCGGAATTCGCGATCCATAGTTCAAACTCGGGATTCGTGAATGGCCTTTCAAAAGTGGCGAAGTCATGCGGGTTTTCTCGAGAATGCCGCCGCGTTTCAACCTGGGAGTGCTCGATTGGACACCCCAGTTCGGGAGAGCTCGAAAGTGTGTCATAGGGTCGGCAACTGCGATTTGGACATCCCGGTTTGGATCGGTTCTGAATGTCTCAAATCTCAAATCGAGAGGCTCAGGTGTTCCGGTTTGAAGCGACGGTAGGAAAAGACGAGAGTTCGGAGTTTTCAATGGCTCAATGGCATTGTGAGTGCGTTGAGTTTAGACATTTGTCAATCCGGTTATGCTCTTACACCGGTTATCCAGTTATCCGATTGAGACAGGAGTCGCTCGTCCTAGAACCAGAGAGACCCTGTTGAGGTCTGTGTAAGAGGGATTCTAGGCCCGGACTCCTGAGCCCGAAACAGGAGGGTCCGTGAAGGACCTTGGGGGTAAAGTTCGACTCCTAAACGAGTCGTTTCGCCATAGAGCACAGCGCTCCAGAACTGTCCATTTTCCAGAGCTGCAGGATGCCCGGATTCCAGGGATTAGCCAGCACCAGAAGCACCTCTGTGCTTCTCTGTGGAAGCATCGGAAGCATCTCTGTGCCTGTGCTCGGCCGCGTAGCAGCACCCCAGATACCAAGCGGCAATCCTCGTTTTCAGACTACTCGACTCAAAGCACAAGCATCGCGTGCTGGGTATCTCGCGACTGGCAGCTCGACTGGCCTGTGCAACGGCTGCAAGAGACCTTTCAACAGCAGCAGCAACACCCGCGGCAGGTGCAGTCGCAACAGCAGCAGCAGTGGCATCAACTTAGAAAGAGCTGCTTGTGCCTGCCCAGCGATGGCTGCTGCTTCTCCTAATCTCAAGTCTGCCACAATCGGGGGTGTCTCTGCCTCTGCAAAATCTGCGGCTGCTACCAGCAGCACGGGCATGGGAGGGCCGGCAGTGTCTGAAGCAGTCGTTGTGGGTGGCGGATTGGCCGGCCTCGCTCTGGCTATTGGCCTCCGGAGCATTGGGATTGACGCCCAGGTGAGACGCCCAGGTGAGACGCCCAGGGGAGACGTCCAGGTGAGGTGAGTGAGACGCCCAGGTGTTGGAAGCTACATAGTATCAGGTAACTAAATTCTTCTGTATAAGTTTCTCCACTAGCACTGCGGCTCCCGTGTCAGAATGCGTATAATGTGTTGAAACAAAGAAGCTGGTTTACGTTTTTCTCTGGCTATGAGTGAAGCACTTGCTACGAGGCACGTGCTGTATGTTTTGAATGCTTTGACAGGAAGCCGTACTTCCTTCATTTGTGTAGGTGGTGCTAATTTATGTCATGTCCATCACACCACGCTCTACCATGCCATGCCATACCATACCGTGCCATGACCAGCCATACCATACTGTGCCGTGCCATGCCATGCCATTACACTTCACACCACCACCCCATGCCCCTCTTCCCTGCACGCAGGTGTAGGAGGCCCGCAGTGAGATGGGAGGAATGTTTTACCATGCCATGATCTGTGATGCCATTCCACCCATCCATCACACCACATGATACCATACCACACCATACCATACCATACCATACCATACCATACCATACCATACCATACCATACCATACCATACCATACCATACCATACCATACCATACCATACCATACCATACCATGCCACACCATACCACACCATACCATACCATACCATACCATACCATACCATACCATACCATACCATACCATACCATACCATACCATACCATACCATACCATACCATACCATACCATACCATACCATACCATACCATACCACACCACACCGTACCATACCATGCCACACCATACCATACCATGCCACACCATACCATACCATGCCACACCATACCACACCATACCATACCATGCCACACCATACCATGCCGCGCCACACCATACCATGCCATGCCACACCATACCATGCCATGCCGCACCATACCATACCATGCCACACCCCATGCATGTGTACGAGGCACGCAGTGAGGTGGGAAAATGGTATGCCATGTAATGCTAATCCAAAGCCATTGCACCTCACACCACACCACACCACACCACACCACACCACACCTCACCATACCACACCCTATGCAGGTGTACGAGGCACGCAGTGAGGTGGGGGGGGGCGAAGGCACCATCATCTCGCTCTTCCCCAACGGGCTCAGGGCACTTAACAGAATCGACCCCGCCATTGTACCGCAGGCATGTGAAGTGAATGTAATGGCTGCATGGCTGCATGGCTGCTTGCTTCTGCCTGCCCATGCTCTCCATCCCCTCTTGCCTCACTAACTCCCCCTGTTCCCTCCCCCTTCTCCAGCTAATACTGCTCCCCGATCGTGTTTCCTCCTCTCCCCATCTGGTGATGTCATCGGCCCGTGGGGCTACAGACAGCCCTTCTATGGCTGCTCGCTTCTGCCTGCCCATGCTTTCCATCCCCTCCTGCTGTGCTAACTCCCCCTTTTCCCTCCCTTCTCTCCAGCTGACCCCCCTTGGCGTCTCGGACCCCACGCGCCTTCTGCTATCCCCACCCGGTGACGTCATCCCCCCATGGGGCTACAGTGCCACCATGACCATGCGCTACGGCCTGCCCATGCTCTCCATCTGCTCTTGCTGCCTCCACCCCTCCTTTCCCCTCCCTCACCCTGTCCCCTTGCTTCCCCCCTACCCTATTCTCCAGCTGATACCCCTTGGAGTTTCGGACCCCACCAGTCTCCTCCTTCTCCCATCTGGCGATGTCATCGCCCCGTGGGGCTACAGTGCCGCCATGTTCACCTGCTATGGCCTGCCCATGCGCTCCATCCGCTGGCGCTATGTGCTCGACATGCTCGACGTGCTGTGCGGGATGCTGCTCGTATTTTATTTTCCTGCTGCTTGCTGCTCCCGTCAACCCTTCCCTTCCTCCTCCGCTCCCCGATTTTCTCCAGCTGATCCCCCTTGGCGTTTCGGACCCCTCCTGTTTCCTGCTCGCCCCTTCTGGCGAGCTTATTGCCCGTGGGTGGGGTGTTGGTGCCACCATGACCCCCTGCTATGGCCTGCCCATGCTCTCCATTCGCCCTTGCCGCACTCTCCCGTCTCCCCCTTCGCCAGTTGATTCCCCTTGGCGTTTCGTACCCCACGAGGTCCTCCTCTCCCCATCTGGTCACATCATTGCCCCGTGGGGCTACAGTGCCACCCACCATGACAGGCCGCTACCGCCTGCCCATGCTCTCCATCCGCTCTTGCTTCGTTTATTTCCCCCTTCCCCCTCCCTTCTCTCCAGCTGATCCCCCTTGGAGTCACGGACCCCACGAGCCTCCTGCTCTCCTTATCGGGTGACGTCATTGCCCCGTGGGGCCACAGGTGACGTCATTGCCCCGTGGAGCTACAGGTGACGTCATTGCACCGTGGAGCTACAGGTGACGTCATTGCCCCGTGGAGCTACAGGTGACGTCATTGCCCCGTGGGGTCACAGTGTCGCCATGACCGCCCGCTACGGGCTGCCCATGCTCTCTATCCTCTGGCAATGATCTTCCCACTTGACACCCCCTCTCCCCGTCCCTCTCCCGCTCCTTCCAGCTGATCCCCCTGGGAGTTTCGGATCCTACGAGCCTTCTTCTCTCCCCATCGGGAGATGTCATCGCCCCGTGGGGCTACAGTGCCACCATGACTGCCCGCTACGGCCTGCCCATGCTCTCCATCCGCTGGCGGGACGTGCTCGATGTGCTGCTCGGGATGCTGCCGAACGATGCCGTCCACACCGGGCACAGGCTTGAGGAGATCACACAGAAAGAGGCGGCGGGGGAAGGCAGTAACGGGGAAGGCAACGACAGCGAAGGCACGGTGGAGTGTTACTTCCGTACTGTTTCGTGCGGCAACGAGCACCTCGTGAGGGTGGAGGTGGGTGCTGGGGGCGGTGGGTTGTGCTTGGAGTGACCAGTGAAGGATCACTTAGCTCTGCCACTCTCGGCCTCGTGTTACCTCTTTCCAACGCACTTCACCCCACTTTGAGCGTTCTCTCCTTTGCCCTTCCTTCACTCCCCCCTCCCCCATACCCCTCTTCTGCTGGGAGCAGGCACTTGCTCCATAATCCCCATGTTTTCTGGTTGTTTCATCCCCTTGGTTTCTCTCTCATTCTGCAAACCCCACTGTCTTCCCCCCTTTCCCCAGACCCCTCTGCTGCTGGGGGCGGACGGCATTCACTGCTTTAACGTCTCACTTCTTCTCTCTCCCCTCCTCCCTCGCTTCCTCCCCTCCCCCCCCCCCTGACCCCTCTCATGCTGGGTGCTGACGGCATTCACTCACAGACTCGACAGCATCTGCTGGGGCAGGAGGAGGGGAGCAATCGCAATGCGGGTGGCAATGAGATATAACTTTCCACCGCATTTCACCCCTCCATTCTTCCACCCTCCCCTTACCTAGACCCCTCTGCTGCTGGGGGCGGACGGCATACACTCCCAGACTCGAAAGCATCCGCTGGGGTGAGAGGAGGGGCGCAATCGCAATGGGGATGGGAATGAGGTACCACTCTCCACCGCTTTTCACCCCTCCCTTCTTCCACCCTCCCCTTACCCAGACCCCTCTCCTGCTGGGTGCTGACGGCATTCACTCGCAGGTGCGAAAGCATCTGCTGGGGCGGGAGGAGGGGCGCAATGGGAGCAACGAGGTGGCATGGGAGGGAGTGGGTCCGCGAGACAATGGCAGAACCATCTGGAGAGCCATCATCGACAGCACCCTCGCCTCCCACCCGGTATGCGGCCCCTCCTCGCCTCCCACCCGGTATGCGCTGCCCACTATGCTACACTATTTCTGAACGTTTCTGAGTCTGGTATGTGCCATTCTGCTCCCAATGGGTATGTCATCCTCTGCGCAGGGGCATTTTCCGGTGATTTTCAGATTGAGCAGCATCCACTGCCTTATCTCCCGTTTTCCTGCCACAGCTCCTGCAGCCTTGCCTTGCCACATCTTCGCCATGGTAGGCCTCGGCCGCACAGCAACCATCTCCGACACTGCAGCAGACAGGCTCGACTGGCCTTGATTCGTCAGCCCCTTTTCCTCCCTCCCCTCGTTCAATCCTCTGCTTCTTCCTCCGCCTTCTCACAGCTCCTTAAACCCCGCCATATATTCGCCCTTGTGGGACCCGGCCGCACCGCCACCATCTCCGATGCTGCGGCAGGCAGGCTCTACTGGGCCTTCACGCTCGTCGATTCCGCCGATCCGACAGTCAGCAGTAGCCGATCCAGCGGTGGGGAGGAGGCTCGGGAGAAGATCCTGCGGGCGTTTGAGGGGTGGGATGCGGTGACGCACCTGGCCCAGGTCACTCCTCCTGAGCTTATCCTCGAACGCCGCGTGCTCGACCTGCCACCCCTGCCCTTCTGGGTCAAAGGCCGGGCGGCTCTGCTGGGAGGTACAGTGATTGTTATAGCTCAGGGAATGGGTGAGAAGGTGAGAGATATGGCTGGTCCCTATGACCTTCCGTCCCTTTCGTCCCTGCCGTCCCTGCCATCCCTTCCGTCCCTTTCGTCCCTGCCGTCCCTGCTGTCCCTGCCGTCCCTGCCGTCCCTGCCCTAGGGAGGGGTCAAAGGCAGGGCCCTCTGCTGGAAGGTATGGCTAAGGTGGTATCTTCTGGCATAGTACCGTGTTTCAGGCATAGGTGTGCCTCAAAGCTCGACCTGCCGCCCCCGCCCGTCTGGGTCACGGGGAGGGCAGCTCTCTGCTGGGAGGTATGGCCGGGTGATTGCATGTGGAAATTTAATGTAGGCCGGTATAGCTGATGCTATAAAGAGTTATATGTGCATTCTAACATCTCATCCGGCCGTTTCCCCCGTATTCTCTATGTCCAGATGCGGCGCATGCAGTGACGCCAGCGCTGGGGCAGGGGGCGAATTTGGCGTTTGAGGATGCGGCTCAGCTGGTGGAGTGCCTCAGGGCGCACTCGGGTCTCAGGTGGGTGTGGCTGGATGCCTTTATGCCTGCATTAGGATGGTGGAGTGCCTCAGGTTGCACCCGTGGGCCAGGCGGACGTCATTGGATGTGCTTATTCCAGGCGCCATTGGATGTGCTTATTCCAGGCGTATGTGACATGGGCTGGTGGAGTGCCTCAGGGCGCATGATTGTGTGCCAGGTGGGGCCAGATGGGTGCTGCTTGTGGTTGGCATGATTGTGCATAAGTAGCTTAAGCTCATGCGATTGACCAGCTACCTGCTGAAGTGCCTCAGAGCACACTCGGGTGCCAGGTGGGTGTGGTAGGATGCCAGGTGGGTTTGGGAGGATGTCTGGAGGGTGTGGTGGGATGTGCTCCTGGCCGCCTTATGTGGGTATTGTGGGGTGCACGAAGCAGCCCTCGCATGTCAGGTGGGTGCATGAAGGGGCCCTCGCATGTCAGGTGGGTGCATGAAGGGGCCCTCGCATGTCAGGTGGGTTCATTTTGCTTGCATGTTGGTGGGGTGAGTGATTGGCTGCATGTCGGTGGGTGCATGAAGGGGCACTCGCATGTCAGGTGGGTTCTGCTGCTTCTGTTGCTCGTGAGGTGAGTGGTTTGTTGCATGTCGGTGGGTGTTATTGCAGTGGACTTGATTTGCAGGTGATTTGGTTGTTTCTGCCCTCGGCTGCATCATTACACCGCCTCTTACTCCTCCCAACCATCCCTTACTCCTCCCCTCCCCTCCCCTCCCCTCCCCTCCCCTCCCCTCCCCCCGCCTCCCCTCCTCCCGCCTCCCCTCCCCCCGCCTCCCCTCCTCCCGCCTCCCCTCCCCCCGCCTCCCCTCCCCCCGCCTCCCCTCCCCCCGCCTCCCCTCCCTCCCCTCCCCTCCCCCCGCCTCCCCTCCCCCTGCCTCCCCTCGCCTTCCCCCTGTTCCCGCCATACCCTCTCTCTCTGCAGTGACGCCCTGCTCGCCTTCCAGTCCATCCGCATGCCTCGAGTGCAGGCCGTGGCATCACAGAACATTGCATCTTCCAAGAAAATCTACGATGGAGCAGAAGGGGGGGGCAGAGAGAGTGACAGCAGCAGCAAGGGAATCGAAGCAATGCCAGGAGAATCAGCAGGTGCAGCAACAACAGGAGAGCCAGCAAGTGCAGCAACACCAGCAGAGCCAGCAGGTGCAGCAGCCTCCATAGCAGCAGGGTCAGTGACAGGAGGAAAGGGAGGAGGAGGAGATGGATCTGATTTCTATGATTACCTATACACGTTTGACACAGTCTCACTTACTGAGAGTGCGGCTGGAAGGTAGTGGGGTAGTTGATCTTTGCTGTGGCATTTCCGGGGTTATGCCTTATGTCCTTTTGTCTCATATACTAATGCCGTATGGCCCCCCAGCATAACCCAGCCCAACCCATTGTTTCTTACTTTCTGACATTGTCGTGCACAAGAGTTGTCAATGTAGCAAGACAATGGCTCAAGCATGGAACAGAGCACAGCACAGCACAGCGCAGCGCAGCACAGCACAGCACAGCGCAGCGCAGCACAGCACAGCACAGCGCAGCGCAACACAGCGCGGAACAGCACAGAGCAGAACAGCACAGCGCAGCGCAGCACAGCAGAGCAGATGCAGCAGTTGCGACCTTCCAAAGCAACAATGCCGTAAGCATAAAAGACGTCATAAAAATCATGCCTGTCTCCTCTAGCTTTAGGCCGGTCGCCTCAAATGCATCACTGCACAACAGCTGCATCACGAGGGTCCTCCGACACAGCAACAACATCATAAGCGTTAAGGGCATCATCAGCATCACCGCCCTCTCATGCTGCCCGCTGCCCCATCAGCAGTTTTACAGTAGGTGTGTCCCATAACACATCACTGGACAACAGCTGCAACACCAGGATTCTCCAAAGCCACAATATCATGCGCATAGTGGAACTCCTCGGGATCACGCCCCTCTCGTGCGGCCACTGCTGCCGTTGCCGCTGCTAGTTCTTCAAACGTTGCCGGTGCTGCACCCCCCTCATTTCGCATTTTGTCGTACAGTTTCTTCGTATTGGCGACGTTCTGCAACGTCACGGAGTGCACCCGTGGCATGCGCAGGGACTGGAAGGAGCAAAGGGCGTCCCTGCAGTGATAACATGGAGGAGAGGGGAGGGGACGGGGGGGGAGAGGGCATGCTTTGTTATTTGATGTCATGGCGTGAAACATTTGAACGACATGGAACAGCACCCACTTACGAGCAAGATCACCAGCCCCACCTGGCATGCGAGTACGCCCTGAGGCCCTCCACCAGCCCATGTCACATATGGCTGGAATAAGCAAATCCAATGACGCCTGGAATAAGCACATCCAATGACGCCTGGAATAAGCACATCCAATGGCGCCTGGAATAAGCACATCCAATGACGCATGGAATAAGCACATCCAATGACGCCTGGAATAAGCACATCCAATGACGCCTGGTATAAGCACATCCAATGACGCCCGCCTGGCCCAGGGGTGCAACCTGAGGCACTCCACCATCCTAATGCAGCCATAAAGGCATCCAGCCACATCCACATGGCATCTGAGTGCGACCTGGCTGAGGCACTCCACCAGCCGATGTCACATACGGCTGGAATAAGCCATCCAACAACGCTCACCTGAGACCTGAGTGCGCCTTGAGGCACTCCACCAGCTGAGCCGCATCCTCAAACGCCAAATTCGCCCCCTGCCCCAGCGCTGGCGTAACTGCATGCGCCGCATCTGGACAGCCATGATCAATTCATGGAAGGCGGAGCAGAATTAGCGCATGCATGGATGGAAACAATGATCACTTCCCCAAAAAGCACTGCATCTGGACAAGAGAGCACTGCTTCTGGACAAGAGAGCACTGCATCTGGACAAGAGAGCACTGCATCTGGACAGGAGAGCACTGCATCTGGACAAGAGAGCATTGCATCTGGACAAGTCATCCGAGTCAAATCACCCTGGCCCTACCTCCCAGCGGAGCAGCCCTTCCTTTGACCCAGAAGAGCAGGGGCAGCAGGTCGAGCATGCGGCGGTCAAGAATGATCTCAGAGGGAGTGACCCCGGCCAGGTGCGTCACCACATCCCACCCCTCTAATGCCCGCAGCATCTTGGCCCTCGCCTCCTCCCCCCCTCACAGACACAACCTAACAGAACCGCCCTGCCTTGCAGCATAAGCGATACTGACGTACATTCAATCACACATGCAACCTCCCCGGCCCTACCTCCCAGCAGAGCCGCCCTCCCTCTGACCCTGAAGGGCAGGGGCGGCAGGTCGAGCACGCGCGTTCAAGGATAAGCTCAGGAGGAGTGACCTGGGCCAGGTGCGTCACCGCATCCCACCCCTCAAACGCCCGCAGGATCTTCTCCTGAGCCTCCTCCCCACTGCTGGATTGGCCGTTGCTGACCGTCGGATCGGCGCCATCAACGAGTGTGAGGGTCCAGTAGAGCCAGCCTGCTCCAGAATCTGCGATGTATGCTGTGCGGCTGACACCAAGAGTGGTTACTATGTGACGTGGCTACAAGAGCTGGAAGAGGGAAAAGGAGGGAGAGAAGGGAGAGAAGGGAGAGAAAGGAGAGAAGGGAGAGAAGGGAGAGAAAGGAGAGAAGGGAGAGAAGGGAGAGAAGGGAGAGAAAGGAGAGAAGGGAGAGAAGGGAGAGAAGGGAGAGAAGGGAGAGAAGGGAGAGAAGGGAGAGAAGGGAGAGAAGGGAGAGAAGGGAGAGAAGGGAGAGAAGGGAGAGAAGGGAGAGAAGGGAGAGAAGGGAGAAGGGCACTAAAGAATGATTGTCGGTAGAGCTAGGGACACTGGATGCTCCGGAAACTACAACGGCTGCTGTGCGGTTGACACCGAGAGTGGTTACTATGTGACGTGGTTGCAGGAGCAACAAGGAAACAAGGGGGGAATAAAGGGAGACGGAAACAGGGGAATGCTAGGTCAGAAACGCTGTGCCCTTGGGGCCAAAAAGCGCCGGAGGTGTGGCAAAGAAGGAGGTGTGGCAAAGAATGAGGTGTGGCAAAGGAGGAGGTGTGGCAAAGGAGGAGGTGTGGCAAAGGAGGAGGTGTGGCAAAGGAGGAGGTGTGGCAAAGGAGGAGGTGTGGCAAAGGAGGAGGTGTGGCAAGGAAGGAGGTGTGGCAGGGAAGGAGGTATGGCAAGGAAGGAGGTGTGGCAGGGAAGGAGGTATGGCAAGGAAGGAGGTGTGCACCGGATTAAAGCAGAGGGGCACATACCGGGTGGGAGGCGAGGCCATAGCATACCGGGTGGGGGGCGAGACAGGAATCGATGATGGCCCTCCATATGGCCTGTTACGTACACTAAGAGACTCGACATACCAGGTGGTTGGTGAGGCTGGAATCGATGATGGCCCTCCAGATGGTTCTGCCGTTGTCTCGCGGACCCACTCCCTCCCTTGCCGCCCTGCCACTCCCACTCCCACTGTCATCGCTATGGCGCCCCTCTACTGCCCCAGCAGATACTTCCGTGCCTCCGAGTGTATGCCGTCTGCCCCCAGCAGGAGAGGGGTTTGGAGAAGGAGGGGGGGGGGGGGGGGGGGAGGAGGGGAGGGGTGAAGTGCGGGGGAAAGAGGATAATGCCACCACTCCCACTGCCATGGCGTCCCCTTCCTGCCCCAGCAGATGCTTCCGTGCCTCCGAGTGAACTCCCCCAGCAGCAGAGGGGTCTCGTGGAGGGGAGGGGAGAAGAAGTAAGGGGTGAAGAGCGGTGGAAGGAGGTATCACGAGGCCACGCTTGGTGGAGAAAAGAGGCACATGTTTTCGAGTGAATGCTGTTTGTTGCCAGCAGAAGGGTGGCTGGCGGATGGGTGGGGGAGGGGCTGGGAGGGGGAGGAGGGGATGCGTTTGCAGGATCCGTGTGTAATGAGTCTAATTTTGAGTCGACATAAAAAATCGTTTTCTGAGAATTCTAAAAAGAAAGACTCATTAAACTGGGAGGGGGAAGAGGGGATGTGTTTGCAGGACGAGAGAAAGAAAGATGCAGGCGGGGTGATGGACGGGTGATGCAAAGAGGGTAGGGGAATTCCTGGAGTATGCTTTCGACAGAAGAGAGGTCTGGCAGATGGGAGGGAAGAGAAGTGTTTTGAAGAGATGTATGCAACCCAAAGTCATTCGCCCACAAAACACCTCGTAAGCGCCCCTAAGCTCCCCCATTTTCCTTCCTTCCCCTCCCCACCTCCCCACCCTTGCCTGCCCCCACCTACCTCTTCCTCACTCACCTCCACCTCCAGCAACCGCTCTTCACCACCAAGAACAGTTCGAAAGACGCATTTCACCGTGCCGTCCCCCTTTCGGCCTTCGCCCTCCCCCTCCTCGTCTCCCTGCATAAACTCCACGAGCCGGTGGCCCACGTGGACGGCATCGTTTGGCAGCATCCCGTGCAGCACGTCGCGCACCTCTTGCCAGCGGATGGCGAGCAGGGGGAAGCCAAACCGGGCGGTCTTGTTTGAGGCGAGATCCCAGCGGAAAAGAAGCTCGCCAGTGGGGGAGTGGGTGAGACAGGTGGGGTCCGCTACTCCACGGGCCATCAGCTGAAGAGCGGCAAAAGGAAACGGGGGGAGGGGGGTGGGGATGGGACGACAGGGGGTGGGGATAGGACGACAGGGGTTGGGGATGGGACGACAGGGGTTGGGAATGAGACGACAGGGGGTGGGGATGGGACGACAGGGGGTGGGGATGGGACGACAGGGGTTGGGGATGGGACGACAGGGGTTGGGGATGGGACAACAGGGGTTGGGGATGGGACGACAAGGGTTGGGGATGGGACGACAGGGGGTGGGGATGGGACGACAGGGGGTGGGGATGGGACGACAGGGGGTGGGGATGGGACGACAGGGGGTGGGGATGGGACGACAGGGGGTGGGGATGGGACGACAGGGGGTGGGGATGGGACGACAGGGGTTGGGGATGGGACGACAGGGGTTGGGGATGGGACGACACGGGGTGGGGATGGGACGACAGGGGGTGGGGATGGGACGACAGGGGGTGGGGATGGGACGACAGGGGGTGGGGATGGGACGACAGGGGTTGGGGATGGGACGACAGGGGTTGGGGATGGGACGACAGGGGTTGGGGATGGGACGACAGGGGTTGGGGATGGGACGACAGGGGTTGGGGATGGGACGACAGGGGTTGGGGATGGGACGACAAGGGGTGGGGATGGGACGACAGGGGGTGGGGATGGGACGACAGGGGTTGGGGATGGGACGACAGGGGTTGGGGATGGGACGACAGGGGTTGGGGATGAGACGACAGGGGTTGGGAATGAGACGACAGGGGGTGGGGATGGGACGACAGGGGGTGGGGATGGGACGACAGGGGGTGGGGATGGGACGACAGGGGTTGGGGATGGGACGACAGGGGTTGGGGATGGGACGACAGGGGTTGGGAATGAGACGACAGGGGGTGGGGATGGGACGACAGGGGGTGGGGATGGGACGACAGGGGTTGGGGATGGGACGACAGGGGTTGAGGATGGGACGACAGGGGTTGGGGATGGGACGACAGGGGTTGGGGATGGGACGACAGGGGTTGGGGATGGGACGACTGGGGTTGGGGATGGGACGACAGGGGTTGGGAATGAGACGACAGGGGGTGGGGATGGGACGACAGGGGGTGGGTATGGGACGACAGGGGTTGGGGATGGGACGACAGGGGTTGGGAATGAGACGACAGGGGGTGGGGATGGGACGACAGGGGGTGGGGATGGGACGACAGGGGTTGGGGATGGGACGACAGGGGTTGGGGATGGGACGACAGGGGTTGGGGATGGGACGACAGGGGTGGGGATGGGACGACAGGGGGTGGGGATGGGACGACAGGGGTTGGGGATGGGACGACAGGGGTTGGGGATGGGACGACAGGGGCTGGGAATGAGACGACAGGGGGTGGGGATGGGACGACAGGGGTTGGGGATGGGACGACAGGGGTTGGGGATGGGACGACAGGGGTGGGGAATGGGACGACTAGGGGTGGGGATGGGACGACAGGGGGTGGGTATGGGACGACAGGGGTTGGGGATGGGACGACACGGGTTGGGAATGAGACGACAGGGGGTGGGGATGGGACGACAGGGGTTGGGGATGGGACGACAGGGGTTGGGGATGGGACGACAGGGGTTGGGGATGGGACGACAGGGGTTGGGGATGGGACGACAGGGGGTGGGGATGGGACGACAGGGGGTGGGGATGGGACGACAGGGGGTGGGGATGGGACGACAGGGGTTGGGGATGGGACGACAGGGGTTGGGGATGGGACGACAGGGGTTGGGAATGAGACGACAGGGGGTGGGGATGGGACGACAGGGGGTGGGGATGGGACGACAGGGGTTGGGGATGGGACGACAGGGGTTGGGAATGAGACCACAGGGGGTGGGGATGGGACGACAGGGGGTGGGGATGGGACGACAGGGGTTGGGGATGGGACGACAGGGGTTGGGGATGGGACGACAGGGGTTGGGGATGGGAGGACAGGGGTTGGGGATGGGATGACAGGGGTTGGGGATGGGACGACTGGGGTTGGGGATGGGACGACAGGGGTTGGGGATGGGACGACAGGGGTTGGGAATGAGACGACAGGGGGTGGGGATGGGACGACAGGGGGTGGGTATGGGACGACAGGGGTTGGGGATGGGACGACAGGGGTTGGGAATGAGACGACAGGGGTTGGGGATGGGACGACAGGGGGTGGGGATGGGACGACAGGGGTTGGGGATGGGACGACAGGGGTTGGGAATGGGACGACAGGGGTTGGGGATGGGACGACAGGGGTTGGGGATCTATGTTGGAAAAAACACAAATTTCAGTTTGCGTTTTGCGTTTATACGCGAGCAAAATTCGTACGCTGCGTTTTGGGTGTAGATTCGCCAAAATACGCACGGGCTGACCGCAAAACAAAACCAAAATTTCCGCGACAGTTCGCGACGGGGCGAAACTATTCGGGGGTTTCGCACATCGCGAAATCAACATCAAATTTCGAATTTCAAAGCCGAGGCGCACCAAACCCCCTATCACACCGCTAACCACCCCACTCCACCCCGTCATTCCCACACCTCTCCCAACCCAATGTCCAACTCCCTTTTCCCCAAACAGAGTACGCTTTCCAAGCATAAAGAGCAGCCATTCTAGCATTTCGAACTCATTCTCTTCTCTAGCTTCCCCTTCTGTCTCCAGCATGGCCTCCACGCCTAGACCCACTCCGTCTTCCCCTTCAGCTGCGGCAGCCCCTGTTTCCGCGGAGGCTTCTACTAGCAGCACACTCTTTTGCCCCGACAGCACGCATGTCGTGTTCCGCCACTTCAACGTCCCAATCGACGACTCAAGCGATAGCGCGACGAAGATCTGCAAGTATTGTGAGTTCAAGTTCGTCGGCGGCATGTACTGCTGCGCTCAACACATCACCAGCTGGTCCAGCATGAGACGTCGCGAAGTGCGGCTCTGCCCCTCGGCTCCCAAGTCTGCCCGTGACGCCGTGAAGACTTCGTACAATTCGAAGCTGCAGGCGCGCGAACGAAAGCGCGCGGCGGAGGCAGCCGCACTCGGTGGGGTGAGCGGCGCTGCTCGCGATGGCGAAGGGAAGAGGTCCCGCATCACAGACTTCTTCGGCGACGAAGGGACATGCGCGAAGGAGGCGGCAGACGAAGCGCTTTGCGTGCTCTTCGCCGGCCTTCGACTTCCCGAGCATCACGCAGACCACCCTCTTTGGAGGAACGCCGTCAGCTGCATCGCTCGCGCGGGCGCGACGTACGTTCCTCCGAAGCGCCGTTACATCGGAGGGGCAGGCTTGCAGAAGTGCCGCAAGCGCATCGCGGCGGCCTTGGCTCCGATTGCCGTGAGCTGGCGCCGCGACGGGGTCACCATCGCGTCGGACATGATGACCGACGGCTGCGGACGCCCCCAAGCGAACATTCTGCTCATCAACGACTCGGGAGCCGTTTTCACCGAGTCGATTGACACGAGAATGGAGTCGAAGACAGGCGGCTACATCGCGAGCCTCCTCCGCCCGATCTTGAGGAGGGTCGGGCCCGACAACGTCGTGGCCCTTTGCATGGATGGCGGCTCAAACTATGCCGTGGCATGCCGGGAGCTCGTGGCGGAATTCCCGCACATCGAGACCGTCCCCTGCGCCACCCACGTTCTCGACCTTCTCCTGGAAGATGTCGGGAAGATGACGTGGGAGAAGGACGTGGTGGACACGGCGTCTGACATGATCAACTTCGTCCGCGCCCACCACTTCACCCGCGGCTACCTGAGGAGCAAACACGTCAACGGCGGCAAGGGGCGGCAGGTCCTCAAGCCAGCGGGCACGCGGTTCGGGACACAATTCATCGCTGTGTCCCGACAGTGCGACGTTCGGCTCAGCCTTGTTCAGATGGTCCTGAGCGAGGAGTGGAGAGGGTGGGCGGTGGGGGGGAGGAAGGTGGGTGGTGAGATGTTCAAGGCACAAGTGATGGACGCCTTGTGGTGGCAGCTGGCGGAGTTTTTCATCAAGCTGCTGGAGAAACCCTTCATCGTCATGCGAGCCACCGATGCCACGGCAAAGGGCATGATGGGCCGCATGTACGACACCATGCTCCAGCTCACCGAGGACGTCTCGGATTTCCTCGACGAGCATGCGGAGGGGAGGCTCACAAGGGGAGAGGTGGCGGAGGTGAATAAAATTGTGAAAAATCGATGGGATGGGGGGCTCGCCTGCCCCATGCACGTGGTTGGCCGGATCCTAAATCCGGCCAACCAAGAGGAGGGCATTTTCCGCACCGACATCGAGTGCACCCGCGTCTTCAAGTCGTACATCTCCCGCCACTACGACCACCTCACCATCACCCGCAGGGATGGCGAGGAGCGCCGTGCCTCCCTTGTGCTTCAGGAAGGCCTAACGGCCTTCCTGAACCTGCAAGGGAGCTTCGGCCTCCCTGCTGCCATTGCGGACCGCGAGGCTGTGAAGGAGGGGAGGCAGAGTGTCGTGCAGTGGTGGAACTGGCACGGCACGGACTTTCCCGAGCTCGCCACGCTTGCGTGCCGCGTACTCACACAGCCTGTGTCGGCGGCAGCATGCGAGCGCAACTGGGCCGTGTGGGAGTCGGTCCACACGGCCAAGCGCAACCGCTTGGGGTCGGAAAAGCTCAACGATCTCGTGTACGTTGCGCACAACTGGAAAGTTGTGCACAACTGGCACTCGGTCGCGGAGGGGCAGGGGGTGGTCACCGGGAATATTGAGGAGCCCCCCATTCCGGAGGGGTACATCGAGCAGGAGGAGGGGGACGAAGAGGAGGGGGAGGATGCTGTGCTTGCCGATGAGTACGAGTAGAGCTGACTGACCTGCGGTAGGAGGAGGTGGGGAATGGGGTGGAGTAGTGGAGGGGGACTGTAAAGGGTGGGGGGGGGGGAATAGTGGAAGGGGGCTGCAGGGGGAGGTGTTGTGGAAGGGGGGTGCATAGGAGGTTAGAGTATTGGGGAGGGTAGTAGTAATATGCGGGTATTATGATGTACAAAATTTGCCTATCAATAAAATGGGGATGGGGATTTGGGGTGCTTTGTAACCCCCCCATTCCCGCCTCTTACCCCAAATTTCCACCTGCCCGAGAAAGTTTTTTTTGCTGCCCAGGCCACCGTTTTTCCTGCGTACCAGACCCCCTTACCCATAGCGTTTTGCGTATATACGCTAGCGTACTAAACGCGAAACGCGTTTTTTCCAACATAGTTGGGGATGGGACGACATGGGTTGGGGATGGGACGACAGGGGTTGGGGATGGGACGACAAGGGGTGGGGATGGGACGACAAGGGGTGGGGATGGGACGCCAGGGGTTGGGGATGGGACGACAGGGGTTGGGGATGGGACGACAAGGGGTGGGGATGGGACGACAGGGGTTAGGAATGAAACGACAGGGGGTGGGGATGGGACGACAGGGGGTGGGGATGGGACGACAGGGGTTGGGGATGGGACGACAGGGGTTGGGGATGGGACGACAGGGGTTGGGGATGGGACGACAGGGGTTGGGGATGGGACGACAAGGGATGGGGATGGGATGACAGGGGTTGGGGATGGGACGACAGGGGGGTTGGGGATGGGACGACAAGGGTTGGGGATGGGACGACAGGGGGTGGGGATGGGACGACAGGGGGTGGGGATGGGACGACAGGGGGTGGGGATAAGACGACAGGGGGTGGGGATGGGACGACAGGGGGTGGGGATGGGACGACAGGGGGTGGGGATGGGACGACAGGGGTTGGGGATGGGACGACAGGGGTTGGGGATGGGACGACAAGGGGTGGGGATGGGACGACAGGGGGTGGGGATGGGACGACAGGGGTTGGGGATGGGACGACAGGGGTTGGGGATGGGACGACAGGGGTTGGGAATGAGACGACAGGGGGTGGGGATGGGACGACAAGGGGTGGGAATGGGACGACAGGGGTTGGGGATGGGACGACAGGGGTTGGGAATGAGACGACAGGGGGTGGGGATGGGACGACAGGGGGTGGGGATGGGACGACAGGGGTTGGGGATGGGACGACAGGGGTTGGGGATGGGACGACAGGGGTTGGGGATGGGATGACAGGGGTTGAGGATGGGACGACAAGGGTTGGGGATGGGACGACAAGGGGTGGGGATGGGACGATAGGGGGTGGGGATTGGATGACAGGGGTTGGGGATGGGACGACAGGGGTTGGGGATGGGACGAGAGGGGTTGGGAATGAGACGACAGGGGGTGGGGATGGGACGACAGGGGGTGGGTATGGGACGACAGGGGTTGGGGATGGGACGCCAGGGGTTGGGAATGAGACGACAGGGGGTGGGGATGGGACGACAGGGGGTGGGGATGGGACTACAGGGGTTGGGGATGGGACCACAGGGGTTGGGGATGGGACGACAGGGGTTGGGGATGGGACGGCAGGGGTTGGGGATGGGACGACAGGGGTTGGGGATGGGACGACAAGGGGTGGGGATGGGACGCCAGGGGTTGGGGATGGGACGACAGGGGTTGGGGATGGGACGACAAGGGGTGGGGATGGGACGACAGGGGTTGGGGATGGGACGACAGGGGTTGGGGATGGGACGACAGGGGTTGGGGATGGGACGACAGGGGTTGGGGATGGGACGATAGGGGGGTTGGGGATGGGACGACAAGGGGTGAGGATGGGACGACAGGGGGTGGGGATGGGACGACAGGGGGTGGGGATGGGACGACAAGGGTTGGGGATGGGACGAAAAGGGGTGGGGATGGGACGACAGGGGTTGGGGATGGGACGACAGGGGTTGGGGATGGGACGACAAGGGGTGGGGATGGGACGCCAGGGGTTGGGGATGGGACGACAGGGGTTGGGGATGGGACGACAAGGGGTGGGGATGGGACGACAGGGGTTGGGGATGGGACGACAGGGGTTGGGGATGGGACGACAGGGGTTGGGGATGGGACGACAGGGGTTGGGGATGGGACGATAGGGGGGTTGGGGATGGGACGACAAGGGGTGAGGATGGGACGACATGGGGTGGGGATGGGACGACAGGGGGTGGGGATGGGACGACAAGGGTTGGGGATGGGACGACAAGGGGTGGGGATGGGACGACAGGGGTTGCGGATGGGACGACAGGGATTGGGGATGGGACGACAGGGGTTGGGAATGAGACGACAGGGGGTGGGGATGGGACGACAGGGGGTGGGTATGGGACGACAGGGGTTGGGGATGGGACGACAGGGGTTGGGGATGGGACGACAGGGGTTGGGGATGGGACGACAGGGGTTGGGGATGGGACGACAAGGGTTGGGGATGGGACGACAGGGGTTGGGGATGGGACGACAAGGGGTGGGGATGGGACGACAAGGGGTGGGGATGGGACGACAGGGGTTGGGGATGGGACGACAGGGGTTGGGGATAGGACGACAGGGGGTGGGGATGGGACGACAGGGGTTGGGGATGGGACGACAGGGGGTGGGGATGGGACGACAAGGGGGTGGGGATGGGACGACAGGGGGTGGGGATGGGACGACAGGGGGTGGGGATGGGACGACAGGGGGTGGGGATGGGACGACAAGGGGTGGGGATGGGACGACAGGGGTTGGGGATGGGACGACAGGGGTTGGGGATGGGATGACAGGGGTTGGGAATGAGACGACAGGGGTTGGGGATGGGACGACAGGGGGTGGGGATGGGACGACAGGGGTTGGGGATGGGACGACAGGGGTTGGGGATGGGACGACAGGGGTTGGGGATGGGACGACAGGGGTTGGGGATGGGACGACAGGGGTTGGGGATGGGACGACAGGGGTTGGGGATGGGACGACAAGGGGTGGGGATGGGACGACAAGGGGTGGGGATGGGACGCCAGGGGTTGGGGATGGGACGACAGGGGTTGGGGATGGGACGACAAGGGGTGGGGATGGGACGACAGGGGTTGGGGATGGGACGACAGGGGTTGGGGATGGGACGACAGGGGTTGGGGATGGGACGACAGGGGTTGGGGATGGGACGACAGGGGTTGGGGATGGGACGACAAGGGGTGGGGATGGGACGACAAGGGGTGGGGATGGGACGCCAGGGGTTGGGGATGGGACGACAGGGGTTGGGGATGGGACGACAAGGGGGTGGGGATGGGACGACAGGGGTTGGGGATGGGACGACAGGGGTTGGGGATGGGACGACAGAGGTTGGGGATGGGACGACAGGGGTTGGGGATGGGACGATAGGGGGTTGGGGATGGGACGACAAGGGTTGGGGATGGGATGACAAGGGGTGAGGATGGGACGACAGGGGGTGAGGATGGGACGACAGGGGGTGGGGATGGGACGACAGGGGGTGGGGATGGGACGACAGGGGGTGGGGATGGGACGACAAGGGTTGGGGATGGGACGACAAGGGGTGGGGATGGGACGACAGGGGTTGGGGATGGGACGACAGGGGTTGGGGATAGGACGACAGGGGGTGGGGATGGGACGACAGGGGTTGGGGATGGGACGACAGGGGTTGGGGATGGGACGACAGGGGTTGGGGATGGGACGACAGGGGTTGGGGATGGGACGACAGGGGTTGGGGATGGGACGATAGGGGGGTTGGGGATGGGACGACAAGGGGTGAGGATGGGACGACAGGGGGTGGGGATGGGACGACAGGGGGTGGGGATGGGACGACAGGGGGTGGGGATGGGACGACAAGGGTTGGAGATGGGACGACAGGGGCTGGGGATGGGATGATAGGGGTTGGGGATGGGACGACAAGGGTTGGGGATGGGACGACAGGGGTTGGGGATGGGACGACAGGGGGTGGGGATGGGACGACAAGGGTTGGGGATGGGACGTCAGGGGGTGGGGATGGGACGACAGGGGTTGGGGATGGGACGACAGGGGTTGGGGATGGGACGACAGGGGTTGGGGATGGGACGACAGGGGTTGGGGATGGGACGACAGGGGTTGGGGATGGGACGATAGGGGGGTTGAGGATGGGACGACAAGGGTTGGGGATGGGACGACAAGGGGTGAGGATGGGACGACAGGGGGTGGGGATGGGACGACAGGGGTTGGGGATGGGACGACAGGGGGTGGGGATGGGACGACAAGGGTTTGAGATGGGACGACAGGGGTTGGGGATGGGATGATAGGGGTTGGGGATGGGACGACAGGGGTTGGGGATGGGACGACAGGGGTTGGGGATGGGACGAGAGGGGGTGGGGATGGGACGACAGGGGGTGGGGATGGGACGACATGGGGTGGGGATGGGACGACATGGGTTGGGGATGGGACGACAAGCGGTGAGGATGGGATGACATGGGTTGGGGATGGGACGACAGGGGTTGGGGATGGGACGACAGGGGCACACCTGGGGCACGATGGCATACCTGGGGCATGATGGCACACCTGGGGCACAATGGCACACCTGGGGTACGATGGCACACCTGGGGCACGATGGCACACCTGGGGCACGATGGCACACCTGGGGCACGATGGCACATCTGGGGGAAGATGGCACACCGGGGGCACGATAGCACACCTGGGGCACGATGGCACACCAGGGGAACGATGGAACGGTCGATTCTGTTGAGCGCCCTGAGGCCGTTTGGGAAGAGGCAGAGGAGGGTTCCCTCACCTAGCACCTCGTCCCGTGCCTCGTATACCTGCATGTTGGGATGTGACAAGGCATGGCATGGCATGGCATGGGACGCCCTTAGACACGGATAGTGGTGATCCTTGGTACCTCGTCCCCTGGCCCGTACACCTGCATGTTGGGATTTGCCATGGGACAAGGCATGGTAAGGCATGAGACGCACTTAGACTGCGTTGCAGAAAAAACAGTCAGCGTGCTCCCTGGCAGGCGCGTGGTCCCCTGCTTCGTACACCATTGTGTTGGGATTCGGCATGGGACATGATTTGACACGTGACTCAGCGTGGCATGTGGAATGATTGGACATGTGGAATGCTGCGTTCGGTCGCATGGATGGCATGTGAATTCCCGTTAAGCATGGGGTCGCATGGCAAGGCACGGAACCACATGATGGAGAATTAGAAAAGAGTTTGTCATTTTGGGATAGTGCAAGCCGAGAAGCAAGGTAACATGCTACATGCAATTTCAAAGAGAGAGGCACAACGAGAGAGAGGCAACATTGACAAAGAGAGAGGCACAACGAGAGAGAGGCAACAGCAACAAAGAGAGAGGCATGGTATGAGACTGGTGGAGACAATAATCAATGTGTCATTATGTCGACAATTTCACATGATTTCGGCATTTTGTCCAACCTCTGCATATTACCTGATTCCAGCATCTTTCCTAAATTCCAGCATTCACCTGATACAGTACCCTACCTGTGCGTCAATCCCAATGTTTCGGAGGCTAATAGCAGCAGCGAGACCGGCCAATCCTCCACCCACAATGACCGCCTCAGACACTGCCGGCCCTCCCATGCCCAAGCTCCTGGCAACATCAGAAGGAGAAGAAGATGCAGAAGCAGCAACACCTCGGCTTCCCTGGTTGATATTGGGAGTCGCAGACGGTCCTGCAGAAGGAGAAGTATTCTTGAAGAAGCTGCTACTGCTGCTGCTGCTGCTGCTGAGGTTGTTGCTGAGGTTGCTCCTGAGGTTGCTGGTGAGGTTGCTGCTGCGGTTGCTGCTGAAGCTTTCGGTGATGCTGCCAGACGCACAAAACTCAGAAGACGCTTGCTTGTTGAAACGAGCCAGCTGATAACGCAGGCTCCAGCTCGGAGATGGTAATCCCATCATTTTCCGGTCAACAACAGGGGCGCTTGAAACGCGGGACACTCCCTGAACAGAAGACATGGCATGCATCATGGCTGAGGCTGCCATGACGAACCTTGCAATAATGTCGTTACTACCAAGCTAGGTCCTCAAACCGTCCTTTTGCAAGTATTGCTACTATCGGGAAAGTACGCGGACTCAGCCAGGAGGAGCAAGCCTTGCTCGAAAAGCCCCCGTAGACTCCGATTTTTTGTTGGGCAGAACGGAGACTCCGTAGGGGCTGACAAGCTGGCGAGGCAGTACGCGGACTCAGTCAGGAGGAGCAAGGATTGGAAAACAAAAAGAACGGCCTTGAAAGAGAATCAGTAAGAAGTAATTTTGGATGTCGTCCAAACTGTGGAATCGCGATCTTATCGCTCCACATTCTGGTAGAGGATTCTGGAATGTGTCGCCCTGAGAATGCGGGAAAGATGTGGCTATTGTTTGACCTTGATCGCGCCTTGAATCTGTAGCAGTTGTCCCCACGAAAGATTGGACTGGCATCCATCTCACAGACCAAAAGACGGCAGGCTCGGGAGGGAGGGAAAAATAGCATCGCATCAAATGGTAATATTCATAATCTTGATGTAAAATGCAAAATCACGTCTAAAATTGCAAAAAAAAAAAAAACAAAGATAGCTCCGCAACCCTAAGACGATTTAGTCGACTCTTGTTTTTTTTGTTAGGGCAAGTTGAAAGGAATCAAAAAAAAAAAAACCAAAAAAAAACCCGTTACGAAAAGGAATCGGCCGTTGCAAATTCGGCTAACAAGGAAACAAAAGCCTTGCACTCTTAACACATAAAATTTTTATTTTAAGTAGCAGTTTAACTAATCGCAACAATAAAAATGCCCTCTCCAACAGTTAACTCCCTATCTGCTGCACTTGATGGGTACTGGCAGGGAATAAAGACATTTGCTCCGTCAAGGAGACGGAGGTTCCCAGGCCTCCGGTTGAGGGCAAGGATGAGCTCCCTGACAAAGGCCCTGCCAAGATCATAGCAGGCTTCCAAGTCACCACCATACTCCCCTCCAAGGGAGTCTTCAGACATGGGCACGGTCTCAGAAGTCATGTTGCCATCAGCATCAACCCCCTGAATGTTGAGCTCGCAGTTCTCAGCATGCGCCTGGAGGAATGGGGACGGCCGCTTGCTCTTGTTGTCACCAAAGATCTCCGAGGCTCCACATACCACTGCAGCAAGAGGATTCCCAGTTTCTCCATCGCATCTTTGACTGCAGTGGGATCGACCTGTAATAGGGTAGGGGAGGCATTGAGAAGTGAGTATAAGAGGGAACAAACATGTCATGAGGTGGCAGACACTTACACATGCATTCCTGCAGTTTCCAGCACCACACGCAACGAGCGCTTACTATTGCATTCGTGCAATTCTCATCACCACACGTAACAAGTGCTTACACATGTACACACGTGTCATGTGCTTACCTTGCATTTCTGGAATTTTCAGCACCACACGTGACATGTGCTCACCTTGCGTTTCTGGAATTCCAGATTTAGCTCATTCAGCAGCTCCAAGACGTCGGCAAGGAGATAAAGCACGAACTGGAATTTCAGAGAAGTGGCAATCTTGAACTGAGCTAGATCGTCCTTCTTCCACATCCACAGGAGAACGGGAAAAACTTCGCAGAAGCGGGTGATGGCCTTCCCAGGTGACAGCCAGCGCACCAGGTGCATGCCCTGCAATTCCAGGTTGGTGTGCAGCATCTCCTCGTGGAACCCCATGAATTCGTTCCGCTGCACACCAGACCTGTGTTGGTTGTTGGCTATTTTGCTGACGATGGAGTCAATGACTCCAAAATCCGGAAATTTGGAGGCTGCATCTTTAGCCGCCAGCGCCTCCCTGGTCATAAGTGAGAAGAGATGGGATAAAGGAAGAATTTAGATCAGCGTACACACCCTGAAATCTTGAGGTCTAACCACGGCAAAAAAAAAGAGCTTGTAAGCAAGTATTGGCATTTGACATCACGTTCCAGCAAGCACACTCACCGGTGAGCAATGCAGTGCATTGCGACTAGCCATGGGACACGGTGACGAAGGCGGGTCACCAAGCCATTCGTGTTGCCGACCATGTTAGATGCACCATCAGTGGAGATGCCGACGAGCCGAGAGAGAGGGATTGACCGTTCCTCCAGGTATGCGGTAAGGGCAGCGAAAAGAGAGGCCGCATCGCACTTCTTCACAGGGATGAGCGCCAAAAACTCCGTCACTACATGCAGCCTCCTCTCGTACGTGATATAGACGATCATATGCTTTCCGTGTGCACGGTCAGTAGATTCGTCGACGGCAAGGTTATAGAAACGACTCTTCAGGATCTCCTCCAGCAGCTTCTCTCGAAGATGCTTCGCGATGGCTTGTACGAACTCCCCCATTGCATACCTGTTGATAAAGCAGCAAGAAATACATGCTTCCATTGTTCATTCAAAAGGCTTCCTGCTGCTACATGTGAAAAGCTTCACAGCAAACAACTTCAAGCTGGAAAATACAGCTAAACAGAAAATGAGGCTCAAGGCGGTTTTCCAGTGCGACATATGAAATACCGTTACTTACTCGGATAGGTACCGCTCCGTAACTTCAGCCTCGCTCATGTCCGGCACGCCCTCGTCTCGCATGAAGCGCGTCAGCACGCGGTAGAACGTCAAGGGGCAGTCGTTGCAGCATACGAAGTAGGCTGCTCGGATGCACCTGATTGTCCGTCGGGTGATAGCGTCAGCATCTCCGTACTCCCTCATAGTGCGCTGCCTCTTATCAACGCCCTCTCCAATTCTCGACTTAGCAAGGGCAAGGAGGTGTGCCTTGGAGTGTTGATGAGTACGAATGCTGGAGAGTTGGAAGTCACGTGCGCCGATGCCCTTCCTGCCGTAGCGTGTATGCCCACCATCCTCAACCCACTGAATACAGGTCTTGCATTTGAAGCCATATTTCTTGGCCTTCGAGCAGTACTTCAAGTCCAGCCATGGGAACAGCTGCTTCCATTGTTCATTGAAGCGGCTCGCAATGTTCTGCTCTGCCATCGGGATCTTGTCATCATAAGGTTGTGCCCCGCCGATATTTATCTCGGCGCGCTTGCGTCTATGACGATGCTCGGGAGGTGGAGGGGCCCAGCAGATAGTAAGCTGTCGGGAATGTGAACGATGATGGCTGCCCCCTCCTCTGCGGCCGTAGAATGGTCCTTCATCGGGTGGAATACTCTCGTCATCGGAGGAATCGTCAGAATCTGTTGCAGAACGAGCTTCGTCATTAAGATCAATGGAGACCTCTACCATTTTCTCCTTGCCGTGCTCAGCCCGGCGAGCCTTGGCGATGGCCTCATCCTCGGAGTCATCTTCCTCGTCACTATTGATTTCCACCGTTGTAGAGACAGCAGGATCGGACGTGGGCAGGCGGGTATCCTCCGCATCGCTAGGAGGCTCGAAGGGTGGGACGCTCATGATGCTCTGCGACTGGATGCGTACACTCTATTTGATGTCCGAAGGTCGCATGCAACCCTTGTCATATAGTTTCAGCAAAACCCAGGATCGCCCTGAGCATGCATCCTCGCCCAAGTAGGTCGTTGGCAAGAAAATGAATCGCAACATCTTTTTTGGAGAATCGCAGCCAATCATAGCCAAGTAAACGATCGCTCTTATTTCAGCATCTAACACGTGGACTTATTAGATGGCTTATGATAGTCATTTCTACATCGCAACCGATCCGTGCCTAGGAATTGATCGCTCTGTACTCTCGACCTTCCAGCTGATAGTCAAATGCAGAATTCTGGGCAGAATTCTGGGCAGGAATGCTGAGTGCAGAATTCTGCTCGAGCGATGTAGAGCAGCGTACGTGGGGTTAGGCTAGGGGGGGGTTTGGGGTCGCGAACCCCTACAGAGTGCGCCACTACGAGTATTGCCCATAAGTATTCGGAAAAAAATTACCCTTTACGCAAAGGAATCGCGCGAAATCATTCCCGTTAGTTGGATGGATTCGGGAAAAAATCGCACCTTAGACAAATGGAATCGCTGGAAAAAATACCCTTTATTTCTCGACATTAAGGTTAATTACCCTGTTAGCAAGAGGCCTGGTTAGGAGTTAGGGCAAGACGTGCAGAACGTAACAGAGATTGCGCTCCGATACAAGACGACAGAAGCACCAAGCGAAGAACACATAAAGTGCATAAAATATGATGACATTATCCGAGCAGCACGAATTTTCGAATTTGAATGTATTACACAAAGCAGAAATAGAAAAGGCGAGGAGGGAAGAAAGTTGGAGAGATTAAGAACAGTAAGAGTTAAGATGTGCAGTGCTTTGGATTTGGATATATATACAAGTGAAGGCGGCTTGCAATGTTAGCCAACCCACTTCACAATTCCGACGCGCGAATAGTAAGAGTGGAAGATATCAGACCGAGTTGGATTATCAGCCAGGGACTCTCAACTAGGGTCAGACAGCGATTTTCACTGTTCTATGTAACAGTTGCAAGAAAACCTTTTTCGGGGTTCGGCACGCGCTCATGTCTGTTCTGTCTGTTCACTCTTATCTAGCTAGGTTAGTTAAATTTGTTATAGCCTAGCTGCATTGGGTCAGCTCTTAGAGAGTACGCCTTGTACTTGTTTCTCCCTCTCTCCCTTCCTAGTCTTACTTTCACGCTACTCTAACATGGCATCTAGAGCTAGGTTAGGTCCTACCTACTCACGCTTCCGCCCCTAGGTAAGTAGCCCCGAGTCGGCCCTAGTCGCTCCTAGCCGCTCCTAGTCGCCCCTAGCCACTTCCACCCCCGTAGTTAGCTCGCACGCCTGTCGCCAGCCCGTGCCAACCAGCACCAGCCCGCGCCAGCCAGCGCCAGCCCGCGCTGCCCAGCGCCAGCTCGCACCTGCCCGCCCCGTCCGTTCCCCGCTGCTCCGCGCCTGCTAGTAGCCGCCCGCACCTGCTCGCCACTTGTGCGCCGCGCCTGCTGCTCGCCGACGCCAGCCAGCTCGCCGCTGGCTCGCTGCTCGCTCGCAAACCAGCAGCCACGCCTCCACCGCCGCCAGCCAGCTCACAGTCTGCTCACCATCCAGCAGCCGCACCGCCACCGCTGCCAGCCAGCCCGCCGCTGGCTCGCAGCCTGCTCGCCAGCCAGCAGCCGCGCCGCCGCCACCGCCAGCCAGCTCGCCGCTGGTTCGCCGCCGCCGCCACCCTGTCGCCCACTGCATCTGAAGCCACTGCTGCCACCACTGCCGCTCGCTTCCGCGTGCTGCCACCCGCTGTCGCCCGTTGCAGACCCCTATCGCTACCGCTACAGCAGGCGTGGGCCGTGAGCAGCAGCAGTCCGCCCTTCGTCTCCTTCAATCGCCCACCCGTCCCTCTGACAGTGCCTCCCCTCCCGCTTGACCCTGTTTACGGCCCGCTGTTACCTCCCTTCGGACTCCTCTCCGGATCGTTTCCCCTCTCACTCTCTTCCATCCCCTGTCATGTCCCCCGTTGCCCCCCTACCCCACTGGGTGCGTCGTCCCCCTGGTGGTCGACCTGTTTCTCCTCGTGCTCGTGTCCACCCCATGGTTCTTCGTTGTTGTGCTCCTCCATTCTTTGTCCTACCGCTCCCTCTGCAATCATCCCTACCCCTGTCCTCTACTCCTCTATCTGACTTTGCTCGCACTACTCATCCAGTCGTCTCCCACTTGCTTGCATCGCTTGTTACTGACCATACCGCTCTTGTTGAGGGTATCTCTGCCCTCGTCGCTGTAGTTGCTGACTTTGCCACAAGCCATTGCCTTGACTACGCCCCCGCTCTGGTCTCTCACCCTGCCTGTCCTCCGTCCGTCGGTGGTGCATCTGCCCTTGGCAGTGACGTTCTAGAAGATAGGCAGTTCGAGCTAGCTTTTCTTGCGGCTGCTGTACCTCATCTCTGTGCCATGGTTGTGTCCCCTGAGAGTGATCTGGAGGCCCTGAACATCCCTACCCCACGCTCGTATGCTGAGGCGGTCTCGGGTGCCCAGGCAGCCCAGTAGATACAGGTCATGGAGGCAAAGACGTCATCTTATGAATCAATTGACACTTACGTCGACGCAGTTCCTCCACCTGGAAAGAACATATTCGATGGCATGTTGATCTCTGAGGTGAAGCGCCCGCCTAAAGAGCCGCTGCAGTTCAAGGTGCGGTATGTGGCCAGAGGTTTCAGTTAGCGTTCATATATATGTGTTAGGAATATTTATAAACTATAGCCTAGCTAGAGGCAGTTCGTTTAGGGTACAACACTGAGACAAATCTCAGTTCCTGTGCTTCCCCTAGCCAACTTTTCTCGCGATACGCATTACTCCACAACAGCTGCAACAAGAGAGTCCTCCAAAGCAAAAGTATCGTAAGCATATAGGAAGTCGTCAGGATCGCGCCCCTCTCGCACTGCTACCGCTGCCGATGCCGCTGCAACTTCTTTAAATGTCGGTCCTGCTGCATTCGCCTCACTCGCACCACTGCCCCCTCTCCCCTTGCCTGGTTCCTTCTTCTCGTACACTTTCTTGGTACTAGCATTGTTCTGTGATGCCACAGCATGCACTCGCGGCATGCGAAGCGACTGGAAGGAGCGAAGGGCATCACTGGAAGGGAAGGGAAGGAGGAGGGGGTGGGGGGGGGGGCGGGATGTCGCAAGGTGACTCAAAGGTCATCTGGGTTCTAGAATTCTAGCGTTGTTCTGTGATGCCACGGCATGCACTCGCGGCATAAGAAGCAACTGGAAGGAGTGAAGGGCCTCACTGAAAGGAACGGAAGGAGAGAGGGGGGGGGAAGAGGTTGTTGTCAGCCCATCACATGGAAGGACGCCAACCATGTGCAACAGCGCCTACCTGACATGCAACAACACCCACCTGACACGCAAGTAGGCCCTCCTCCATTCGACCAGCCCATATCACATAAAGCGGCATACATGCATCCCATCAAACCCACCTCACACAGGTCTGCGCCCTGAGGCACTCCACTTTTGAGTCAGCAAGAAAGCATGCAAGCAAGCACATACAACCATTGATTGCAAGCGAACCAGCCCCCTGCAGCAACCACCTGGCACCCGAATGCGCCCTGAGGCACTACAGCAGCCCATATCACACAAGGCGGCCGTAACAGCATCCAGTCACGCCTATCTGGCACAAGGTTTAAAAAAACGTCTTTTTTTCAGAAAATCACCGTATTATACGATATCGTATTTTTCGGCCGTTAAATACGATAAAAAACGATTCCGAATGTTTCATTTTCATTGGTGGAAAAAAACGGTCGTTTTAATCGACCGATTTTTTTAAACGTAATGGAGTTTGCAAAACGAACAAATTTGTTACACATTTCTGCGGTTGGGTGTACACCCAACCGCAGAAATGTGTTCAGTCAACACATTCCCAAAGCGCGGCCTCGACATTTTTCCGAGGCGCGCATTTCGGACGGTTCACCAAATCTGTTGCGAAATTGTCGTCCATTTCGCAACGGGCTGGTTTGATTTTCGAGCCCAGTAGCATGCGTTCGCGCAAAACGGAACGCATGCTACCGAGGCGCATTTCGAAATTGGAGCAGCATCCAATTTCATCCCTTCCACCTCGCTCATGCACAGAGATCCCAACCCAATCACTCACAGCACAAACTACAAATCCATTGCTAAAAAACAGAGCCAAATTCAACAGAGATACCTTAAGAGTGAAGCACGTAAACTGACGCCCAAGCTAGCTGGGGCGATTTTAGCCCGCCCAATCCAGTCCGTCGCATGCGCGCATTTCATCGCCCGTGTACGTCGATTCTAGATAGCGTACTTTCGCAATGCCGCTCACCCCGTCGGCTTTGTGGGCGCACGTGACCCGCACCCAAGATGACCATGGCAAGGTCATCCGGACGGAGTGCAACTACTGCAACATCAACATTACTAGTAGCGCGACTCGCATTCAAGAGCACTTGTACGGCACCCCGGCTTTCAAGTTCAAGAATGTGGCGGAGTGCAAGAGCGAGTTCGCTAAGAATCTCCGCACCAAGGGTCTCACCCCAACTACCACCTTCTCCAACATCCACGGGTCCACATCCGCGGTTCCAGCTCCGGCCGTCAAGCGCAGCCGAAATCGGGACATCCGAGGGATGGTCGACAAGGCCGGTCGTGACGCATTGGATCTCCTTTGGGCCACCGCCGTCGTCGAAAACGATTGGGCCTTCCGCGTTTCACAGTAAGCATGGCCCGAGATTTTCTCATGCACGTGCATCTTACCACGTCCTTTCTGAACTTGTCGCGCTTGCTCGGCATGCTCTGCCCAGTGCTCTGACTAATTACCGCTTCCACCCCACCCCCCTCACCTAGGTCACCCGCCTTGCAATCGTTCGTCGAGGGGGTGGTCGCTTACGGGAAGCCGTACACGCTCCCGAGTGCGTACAAGGTCTCCCACCCGCTCCTCGTCAAGCTCAAGGCCGACACGGATGCCCTCATGACGCCGATCCGGGACTCGTGGGCCACGACCGGGTGCTCTCTATCCGTTGATGGGTGGTCGGACATGAAGAACCGCGGCCTTGTTTGCATCATCGCCATGAATGACATGGCGCCCGTTGTCGTTGCCGTGGTGGACACCAAGACGCACAAGAAGACGGGCGCCTACCTTGCATCGCTGATCCGCCCGGCACTTGTGGAGGTGGGAGATAACCGCGTTGTCCAAGTGGTGATGGACAATGCGAGTAACAACAAAAAGGCGGCCGACGAGCTCCGCGATGGGTACCCCTCCGTGTTTTTTACGAACTGCGCCGCACATTGCTTGGATTTGATGCTTCAAGATCTCGGGTCAATTGGGGTGGTGAAGAAGGTCTTGCTTCAAGCTCACCGGGTGGTGATGCTTGTTAAGAACAGCTCTACCACTGTGAATCTCTTACGAGAGGTTTACAGCGAGCTTGAGCTCGTTAAACCGGGAACCACCAGATTCGGCACCCAAGTGATCATGGTGGGCCGGTTCTTGGAGGTGAAGAGACAAATGCGAAACATGGTCATAAGTGAAGAGTGGGGGGAGGTGCCGGCTGCTAAAACAGAGGAGGGGCGCCGAATCCGCCGCCTCCTCCTCGACGATGCTTTTTGGGGCTCGGTGGAGGTGGTGTTGAAGCTCATGACGCCGGTGTACGAAGTGCTCCGAGCGGTGGACACACGTGCTCACCTCATGGGGCGAATCTACGGGTTGATGCTTGACGCCACGATGAAGACCAACGAGGCGGCCGAGCGGGCTGGTATGTTCCCCACCCATGCTCCACATGCACCATGCATGTCTTTGATTTCTTGCTTGTGTACACGTCCCACACCCTCCACACCATACCCCACACTAACTTGTGTCGTACGACTTGTCTTGGTCGTGCGTGTGCAGCCAGGTATTTCGTGAAGAAGACCGGGCTGCTCATGGCCAAGGACAAGGCGTCCTTCTTGGCCAAGGTGCGTCGGATTATCGCTCACCGTTGGGACGGCCAGCTACATAACCCTCTTCACGCGGCTGGTTGGCTCCTCAACCCGGTCAACCGTTTTGCCGAAGAGGTTCGGGGTGATTCCGAGATCTTGAACGGAATGGATGAGGTGTTGAAGGCGCGTGCGGCGGACATTCAAGGTCGCACTCTCCTTCGAGCCCAACTCGCCCATTACCATAGTGGGAATGGGAGTTTGGGAGGCAAGGAGGCACGGTGGGCCGCCACCAATTTGGTGGAGAGCGGGAAGCTCTCTGAAGCGGAGTGGTGGTCCACCTTCGGGGGGGAGGTGAGGGCGCTTCAGGAGATGGCCGTCAAGATCCTCTCCCAGCCCTGCACGTCGAGCGAGGTGGAGCGCGCATGGTCGGCCTTCAACCGGGTGCAGCGACGTGATCGCAACCGGCTGAGTTCCAACACCATGATCGACGTCACGGTGGTGGCGTTCAGCCGGCGATCACGAGCCGCCTTCGATCGGAAACAGGCAGCCCGTGAGCGCCTCTACGCCGACCTCGGGTCTAGCGCGTTGGGGGAAGGGAGCGTCCCTCCTTCCCTCACCGCTTCCTCTCAAGCGATGGGCGGGGAGGGGGGAGAGGAGGAGGAGGTGCAGGAGGAGGAGGGTGCTGGAGCGTGCACCATCGATTGGGCCACCTTTGGAAACATCGGTGCGCCCAAGAAGCGTAAGATGAAGGGGAAGAAGGGGCAGGGAGGGAAGAAGGTGTGCGGGGCAAAGAAAGGTGCTGGAAAACGCGGCAAACAGGTAGAGGAGGAGCCCGCCAACAGCACGCGCGATGGCGGCAGCGAGGGGGAGGAGGAGGATGGCCTTGGGCCATGGGATTTCGTGATGGGAGGGGGTGAGGGTAAGGAGCGGGGGGAGGGGCAGGGGGAGGGGGGAGGACACGAAGATCCTGAGGAGGAGCAGGAGCAGGAGCAGGAGGAGGAGGAGGAGGAGGAGGAGGAGGAGGAGGAGGAGGAGGAGGAGGAGGAGTAGGAGGAGTAGGAGTAGGAGGAGTAGGAGGAAGGAGGAGTAGTAGCCTAGTAGGTAGGAGGAGTAAGTAAGAGGGAATAGGTGGAGTATTTCTCTGTAATTTACACACTCACCTTGCGTGCACCGTAGACACCAGCAGCGTAGTTGTGTGCTCTTTTTTTTTCGCCAAGAAAAAAAAAAAAAAAAACACGCCTAATAAAAAAACGTCGTTTTTTTCAGAAAATCACCGTATTATACCATCAAAAAAAACGATCGAAAAAACGGCCTGCCGTTTTTTTCAACCTTGATCTGGCATCCCATCACGCCCACCTGAGACCCGAGTGCGCCCTGAGGCACTCCACCAGCTGAGCCGCATCCTCAAACGCCAAATTCGCCCCCTGCCCTAGCGATGGCGTCACTGCATGCGCCGCATCTGGACAGACAGAGAAGAGAGAATAGGAAAGGGGGCAATGTGGGCTCCCAGCTAAAGTCACAGCAAACAGGATCCCCTGCCCAAGCGCTGGAGTCACTGCATGCGCCGCATCTGGACAGGCAGGCAGAACCAGTGGGGAATACCAGAGAAAAGCCAGCAAGGCGAGGATTAGGGGAAGACAAAATCGCCCCCCTGCCCAAGCGTTGGCGTCACTGTATGCACGACCTCTAGCAGGAAGGAGCAGAGGAACAAGAATGGGTGAAGAAGAGGACGGAAAAATGGGCTCAAAGTGGGCTACGAATGGGCATTACTTTTTACTGAGTGCCCTTTGTTGTTATAAATAAAGCTTGCATCCATCCACCTAATGAACCAGAAGAAGTTCGAAGAGAATATTCATACCTCCCAGAAGAGCCACCCTCCCTTTGACCCAGAAGGGCAGGGGCGGCAGGTCGAGCACGCGGCGTTCAAGGATGAGCTCAGGGGAAGTGGCCCGGGCCAGATGCCTCACCGTATCCCACCCCTCAAACGCCCGCAGGATCTTCTCCCGAGCCTCCTCCCCACTGCTGGATCGGCCGCTGCTGACCGTCGGATCGGCGCCATCAACGAGTGTGAGGGCCCAGTAGAGCCTGCCTGCTCCAGAATCGACGACGACTGCTGTGCGGTTGACACCGAGAGTGGTTACTATGTGACGTGGCTGCAGGAGCGACAGGGAAAGGAAGGAAACGAGGGAGACAGAAAAAAGGGGAAATAAGCTGTGCCAAGGAGCTGAAACTGCTAGACAAGTGGCTGATATTTCTTGAACTCTGACTGAAGAACCTCACAAAACACATGCTGCATGCCGGGCGAAAGGAGAGAGGCGCATACCGGGTGAAATCAGAGGGGCACATACTGGGTGGGAGGCAAGGGACACATACCGGGTGGGTGGTAGGCGAGGGACACATACCGGGTGGGGGGAGAGGCCAACATTGGTAAAGGGCACATTGCATACCGGGTGGGAGGCGAGGGTGCTATCAATGATGGCCCTCTAGATGGTTTTGCCGTCGTCTCGCGGACCCACTCCCTCCCCTGCTGCCCCGCCGATCCCACGGCACTCCCTCTCTTTGCCGCTACCAGTATTGCTTTAGTCAGAGTCAGAAACAACAGGGCACATACCGGGTGGGAGGTGAGGCTGGAATCGATGATGGCCCTCCAGATGGTTCTGCCGTTGTCTACCAGACTCATCCCCTCCCATGCTGCCTTCCTGCTCCCATTGCCATTGCACCCCAGCACTTGCCTCAGCAGAGGGGCACACTAGTAAAGGGTCACACGGCATACCGGGTGGGAGGTGAGGCTGGAATCAATGATGGCCCTCCAGATGGTTCTGCCGTTGTCTCGCGGACCCACTCCATCCCCTGCAGCCCCGCCACTCCAATTCTCATTACCACTGCCATTGCGCCCCTCCTCCACCCTCAGCAGATGCTTCCGCGCCTCCGAGTGAATGCCGTCTGTCCCAAGCAAGAGAGGGGTCTGGCGGGCGGGAGGGAGCAGGGGAGGGGATAGCGGATGCGAAAAATGAAGAGGGGCGTGATGGATGGGTCAGGGGAGGCGAGTAATCTATTTTTTAGGCGCCTCAAAATAGGGCCTGGTGGACGGGAGGGAGTAGGGGAGGGGACAACAGGATGCGAGAAATGAAGAGGGGCGTGATGGATGGGTGACTTTTGAGTCGATTCAAAAGTAATCTCGTGATAGATGAGTGATGGGAGGCGAGTAGGGGAATGCTTGCCGTCTGCTCCTCCCAGCACAAGAGGTGTCTGGCGGATGGGAGGGAGAGAAGTGCCATGAAGTGAAGTAGGTAATGCAGAGCCAATCGCCCACCATCCGCCTCCCAAATGCCCCACTGCTCAACCCCCCATCCCATCCTCACCCCCCAACTCTTCCCCCCCACCCCACCCCATCCTCTTCCCCCACCCCCCCCACTCGCCCTTCCCCCCACCCCCTTCTCCCCGCTCACCTCCACCTGCAGCAACCGCTCTTGACCGCCCGAAACACTTTGGAAAACGCATTTCACCGAGCCATTCCTATCAACTGTGCCGCTCCCCTCACCATCTTCCCCCTCCGCCTCCTCTCCCTGCGTAAACTCCACGAGCCGGTGGCCCATGTGGATGGCATCGTTTGGCAGCATCCCACGCAGCACGTCGTGCACCTCTTGCCAACGGATCGCGAGCATGGGGAAGCCGAACCGGGCAGTCATGTTTGAGGCGAGATCCCAGCAGAAGAGAAGATCGCCGGTCGGAGAGTGGTTGAGACAGGTGGGGTCTGCTACTCCACGGGCTATCAGCTGAAGAGGGGCAAGGAAAAAAAAAGGACAAATGGGGAAGCCGAACCGGGCGGTCATGCTTGATGCGAGGTCCCAGCGGAAGAGAAGGTCGCCGGTCGGAGAGTGGTTGAGACAGGTGGGGTCCGCTACTCCACGGGATATCAGCTGGAGGAACAGGAGAGAAGAGGGGATATGGGGAAGCTGAATCAGGCGGTCTTGTTTGAGGCGAGATCCCAAGAGAAGAGAAGATGCCGGCTGGAGGAAGATTGAGACAGGTGGGGTCCGCTACCGCACGGGCTACGACAAGGAAAAATGGAGGGGGGGGGAGGAGGGGGAGGAAAGGGGGGGGGGTGGGACGGGCAACATGGGGTGAGGGCGAGCAACAGGGAACGGGAGTATGGGAAAGGCAAAACGACAAAATAATCGCCGGTCTGGGAGAGGTTGTGACAGGTGGGGCAATGGGGCCTGCTAATCCACGGAGTATCAGCTGGGGGATATAGGAGATAAGGGAGAGTGGGGACGGAGAAGAAAAGGATCAATTGGACCCCTCGGCCTGAGACGATTGGGGAAATACAGAGGACCAGTACAGTACCACCACCATGCTCAAACCATTGCTGCAATACACAACTCCCATATGCAACCGTCTCTATCACATGCATGCTATGCAAGCATTGCTACCACATGCCTTGGGGACGATAGCCGGGTCAATTCTGTTGAGAGCTCTGAGGCCGTTGGGGAAGAGGCAGAGGAGAGTTCCCTCCCCTAGCACCTCGTCCCGTGCCTCGTACACCTGCACGTTGGGGTGTGGGATGTGACAAGGCATGGCATGGCATGGCATGGCATGTGATGCACTTCGACAGAGTTGCAAAAAATACAGACAGCGGTGATCCCTGGCACCTCATCCCATGCCTCATTCACCCCTGCATGTTGGGATGTGGCATGCGGCATGGTGTGGCATGGCATGGCATCGCAGGGAATGGCATGTGATTATTGTTGAGCATTGATGGCATGTAGAGCATGGCATGGCATGCAACAACATGCATGGAGAAGATAAACAGGGTTGCCCATTTGAAGCCCAGATGCATGGTAACCTGCTCCGTGGAATGGTAACCAGTCTGCATCGCATGCATGATTGTACAAGATGCACAGCTCATCGTGACGTTAAAATTGCGACAGGAAGACACGACCTAAGAAACAGAAACTCTTCTCAGACAATGCAGGAGACGAACTGAAAGAGGAAATGGAAAAACACATCATAATGTCATATTACCTGCCTGTTTTGGCATATTAATCAATCCCAGCATTTAACCTAATCGCAGAAAATTACCTGAATCTAGCATTCTGCCTGCTTCCATATAGTACCCCACCTGGGCGTCAATCCCAATGTTCCGGAGGCCAATAGCTGATGCGAGACCTGCCAATCCTCCACCCACAATGACCGCCTCCGACACTGCTGGCCCCCCTGCGCCCGTGCTGCTCGCGGAAGCAGCAGCAGCAGAAGGAGAAGAAGATGCAGAAGCAACAACACCCCTGCTTTCATGGCTAAAATTGGAAGTCGCAGGAAACATCGCAGCACAAGTAGCTATCTTAAAGGATCTGCTTCCGCTGCTGCTGAGGCTGCTGCTGAAGCCTTCCACGCCACGTACTTGCTTTTTGAATCGAGTCAGCTGATAACGCGGCAGGTTCCTGCTCAGAGACATTGATACCATTTTCCTCTCGACAGCATGGACGTTCGTAAGATGAGATAGTCCATGAACAGAAGGCGTGATGTGCGAGACGGCTGCCGCCATTCCGGGGCTCGAACTGTCCTTTTCCGTAAAACTGCAGAAATGGTGGGCCTTCAAACTGTCTTTTTTTTCCGTAAAGCACTGAAAGTAAGAAGTTTCGTTCTGGACAAATGACTGAGAAAACTCTATTGAAGGAACTAGGGTATCTCAAATCTGAAAGGACTTCTTGTAGCTCCAAGTTACGCCGGCAAACGGCTGGAGCATACGCTGATTTGAGGAGCGGAAAGGTTGTGGCTGTTGCCAGTTTATCTTAGTTTGGCATTTGCAGCACTGAAGAACCGAAACGGCATCCGTGGCATCTCACAAACCACCAGGCGGCAGGCTTGGTAAGGAAGGTTAGGAAGCCTTTCCAGCCGAGCCTGTATCTGGGACAATCCCATGGTGAGGACAGAGCCGTCGGTAAGATTTTCGTCTTATTCTTTAGCATTTACATTGCCTTCATTTTTGAATCTGTGGCTCTTGTGTTTCAGCGGGGGAGGACGATAGAGCCGAGCAGATGGACCTTGTTCGCCTAGCCCTGGGGTACGCGGAAATGGAAGCTGGAGAAACGTCTCTTTCTGGTATGGCACGGCAATCCCAATAGGAGAAGGCTTCAGGCTGTTCGGTTTAGATTCGTCCGACTTTTGCTTTGGCTGTGGGAACCTGGCTTGGCTAGGGCCGAACCAAAATCTGTGGTTCAGAAGCCGCCTCAGTTTCGAGGCCAAAAGGTATCAGCCAGTTCGGGTTCTGTTAGTCCGGGCGCCGAGCCTATGTGGTACCGAGCAGACAAATTGCCAGGCCAAGATTCAGCTGTGTGCAACAGTGGGTACGCTCTGCTACGATACGACAGCTTCACCAAGAGAAGAGCACACAAAGTGCATAAAATAGGAAGCATTATAACAACACAAAACAGATTTAGGAAAAAATGAGGAGGAAATCAACGTGAAGAAATAGAGAAGAAACGGGGTGGATGGATGAATGTCAGCAATATTTGCACTGCCTTTTGGTTTCAAGTTAGCAAGTTGTCTAGCTGAAATATTACACGGAGGAGCAACGAATTCCCCACTTTCGACACACCCCCTGGTGTTCTAATGTTCGCTATCAGATTTTATCGCACCGTACTAGTCTACTAGACCTGAAAATCAGTTCCGCCTAGCAAATTGAAGGAGCGGGCTTACACTCTGCTATCGTGCCATGTGTCGCTGACGCACGTCTTCTACCTTCGGATATTTCCCGTGTTTTCCCGTACGTACGCGGTCCCATATAATACCCTTATACTAGACTATACTTATCTTCTCTTTAATACACTTTGTAAAATACTATTCTCAGTGTTCAGCTGCTACGGTTAGCAGTAATGACCGAAGGACAATGCAGCCTTTCCCTTCCCCGCGGTTTTCTCTTCCCCGCAGTGGCCCAATCCGTGCCCCACTCACATCCTGTCTCCTCCTCCATCCCTTGCATCCCCCTGTAATTAGTTTGCGACCTTATTCATTTTTAATGCGTCTATCTGAGGTAGGGGGCGCCTCCAACATCTTACGCTTATCCATTTATCACATTAACATTTGGAGAGAGAGTCCATCAGACTAGCTCCAATCTCCTCGTTCTACACGCGAATTGCGCCCAAGAAAGCGCTTCGCATTGATGCACCATGGCGGGCTAAGGACCGGGCTGGCTATCAGACAATCTCAGTCTCTTGCTCTCCGCAACCCACCACGCCCCCCTCCCCCTCCCTCCTTCTCCTTCAACCCCCCCCCCGGTTCCCTTCTCCCCTCTTCCCATATTTCACATCGCTATTAAATATTCTAGACAATGGCGCCCAAGAAAGCCCTTCGAGTAGACGCGCCCTGGTGGGCCAAGGGCACAGGAGTGGCACTTAGTGGCTCCCCTCCCTCTGTCCTCTTCCCCCCTGTGATTCCCTGCAGCACCTAGACAGACCCACACCCATGGTTCCGAAGAAAGCCCTTTAAGCGGACGCCCCCTAGTGGGCCAAGGGCACAGGGGTGGCTCTCATTGGCTCCCCCTCCCCCTGTCCTCCCCCTCCCTCTGTCCTCCCCCTCTCCCTCCCCCTCCCACTGTCCTCCCCCTCCCTGTCCTCCTTCGTGAATGCCCTGCAGCACCTACGCACATCCGGACGGACAGTCACACCCCATGGCTCCTAAGAAAGCGCTTCGAGCGGACGCGCCCTGGTGGGCCAAGGGCACAGGGGTGGCTCTTATTGGCGGGCCAGCGCTGGCTACAGTGCGACGAGGGCCAGATTTCAGCTACGCCATGAGCATACTGCGGGTGCGTGAGTCTGGTAAGTTGTTGTGTCCTAACCTGTGCTATGCTTTCTGTGTTGTGGGGGTGGCCCTAAGGCGGCCAGCGCCGCTGGCTACAGTGCGACGAGAGCCGGAGTTCAGCTATGCCATGAACATACTGCGGGTGAGTGAGGGTAATTTTGTGGGTTAACGCTGCACTGTTGTCTCCCCTCCTACCCCCCGCCCCTTTCCCCCGTTCCCCCCATCCCCCCAGCACTCGAACCCCATAGGCATGGGGTTGGCCTGGAGGTAGGGGTGGAGGCAAAATGTGATGTAGGTCGTCTTCTCTGTTCAAATCCCCTCTTGCCTTTCCTCCCTTCCTCCTCCCTCCCTCCCCTGCCTCCCCTGCCTCCTCTGCCTCCCCTCCCTCCCCTCCCTCCCCTCCCTCCCCTCCCTCCCCTGCCTCCCCTCCCTCCCCTCCCTCCCTTGCCTACCCTACCTCCCCTGCCTCCCCTCCCTCCCCTCCCTCCCCTGCCTCCCCTGCCTCCCCTGCCTCCCCTTCCCCCCATCCCCCCTGCACCCGTTGGCGCAGGCAGACATAGATTCCATCAATGGGGGGATGGGAGGATGGGGAGGCGATTCTACCCCTTCCGTTGAATTGTCACTTCTCCCCCACGTCCCTTTCCCTCATCCCCCCAGCACCCGGACCCCATAGGCATGGGCTTGGCACAGGAGGCAGGGGTGGAGGCAGCGGGCGAGGACTGCCTCGTGCCGGGGCTCAAGAGGTCTGTTATCGTGATGGGTGTGCAGGTTGGTAATATGGGGATGTAGATTGGTGGTATTGGGATGAGGCTGGTGTTTTGCGGTTGCCATTCAGCAAGTGCAGGCAGCAGGCAAGGATTGCCTTTTGGCGGGACTCAAGAGGCCAGTCATCGTGATGGGCGTGTAGGTTGTTACCTTGGGGATCCATGGGAATTAGGGCGGTGACAGGAGCACTTTGTAGCACAGACCAGTGCTGGTAGGCAGCAGAGGAGGACTGCCTTGTCCCGGGGCTCAAGAGGCTCATTATAGTGATGGGCGTGCAGGTTAGTGATATAGGCGGCCAGTTGCGGCAGGGATATAGGTCAAGGTATGGTTGGCAGGCAGCAGGGGAGGACTGCCTTGTGGCAGGGCTCAAGAGGCCCGTCACCCTGATGGGCGTGCAGGTGGGTACCTTGGGCGTACAGGTTGGTAAAATGGTTTTGGCTACTGGGCATGGAGGCTGATTGGGGGGTTTGCAATGCAAGTTAGAGTGTGGAGACAGTATGTAAAATCAACAGTCCAGTCAACCCTGGCGCCCCTTCCCTGCCGTCTAACAGGTATGGCCACTGGAATTCCACAGCCCTCTCTCCCCCCTTACCCTTCTTGTCACAGGATCGAATGTGTCGAGGTCTTGTTGCACTATCGATTGATACAAGGCGCTTTTATACTTCCAAAGTACATCAGGTAACCAGGTCTATCTTATCCTAAGAGAATAGACCCTTCTAGAAAATAGAATCACCTTGCGTATAGCCACGCGAGGCTATTGGCTTTAAGGGATTACGGCATGATTACGCTAGATATAGCGCGCCAGTACATCCTGAGCCTGGTCGGTGATATAATGATAAGAACAAGATAAATCAAAGGTTTATGGAAAAGGAGAATTAGGAATCCAAATGGAATGAGATAAAGACCAAATGAATCAGGATAAAAAGAGGAATGAAATGGAAAGGAAAGATGGAAAGGAGAGAGGAATGGAATGGGGTCGTACTCTCACACTTCCCTCCCTCAAAGCTGGGTGGTAGACGTAACACCCTGCTTGACAAGGTAGTCGCGAAGACAACGACGAGCGTGATCCATCTCGGATTTAGAGACCCAGCTATCCTCTGAAGGATCATAACCTTTCCAACGGATGAGAAGCTCCACGGTGCCATTCCGTCAACGACGGTGAGCAAGCACGGACTCGACCTCGTACTCGGGTTCATCATGGACGAGGACGGGCGGCGGTGGCGGTTGGCATCCAGAGAAGATCGTGTTGGGATCTTGGTAGGGCTTCAAGAGTTGGACATGGAAGGCATTGTGAATTTTCCAGGTAGCTGGCATGTGTAAGCGGAAGGTAACAGGAGTGACCTGTGCTTCAACGAGAAAAGGCCCGCAGAAGCGAGGTCGCAGTTTGGATCGGAGATGGCTGATGTCAAGATTGCGCGTGTCAAGCAGTACTCGGTCTCCCAAGGTGATGGTGTGGTCTGTGCGGTGGCGATCGGCCTGGCGCTTCTGTTGTTGCTGAATGTCGAGAAGGCGCTTGTGGGTCCGATCCCAAAGTTTGTGCATGGTCGTGATGAAATCATGAGCGGGTTGGACTGTGGCTGGTATGTTTGGTTGTTGAGGTGTGAGTGGGTGGCGTCTGTAATAGAGGAAGAACGGCGTCTGTCCAGTAGCGGCGTGAGTAGCATTGTTGTAGGCAAACTCCAATACGGGTAGATGCAAGTCCCACTTGGAGATTTCGTCCTTGCAGGCTGCGCGGAGGAGTTGCTCCACAATTTGGTCGAGGCGCTCGGTCTGTCCGTCTGTCTGCGGATGGTATGCGGATGACATGGCAAGTTTGGTTCCGAGTAGAGACATTAGTTCATTCCAGAATTTACTGGTGAACTTAGGGTCTTGATCGAAGATGAGTGTCGTTGGAATGCCATGTTGTGAAATCATGTAGCGAACAAAGAGTTGTGATGTCTCTTCGGTGCGTGCTGTCGTGTGTGTCGGGATGAAGTGCCCCATTTTGGAGAACTTGTCAATGACGACAAGGATCGCGTCATGACCACTTGTGGTAGTTGGTAGCCCGATTATGAAGTCTAGGCTGTCCACTTGCCATGGCTATTCTGGGATAGGAAGAGGTTGTAGCAGACCCGCCTTTTTCTGCTTGTTGCTCTTCATCCGCTGACATGTAGTGCATGAGGTGACGAATTTCTGCACCCATGTGGGGCCAGTAGTAGTGTTTGGCGATACCGGTGAGCGTTTTGTTGCTACCGAAGTGTCCTGCGTACAAGACGTCGTGGTATTCTTCGAGTAGTATTTAGCGCAATGGAGTGTAATTAGGTACCCAGATTTTCGTTGATCCTTTCCGTAACACGATGTCGTTATCCCACTGCAGCAGATGTTGCTTTTCTGCCAAGGGAATTTCGGGGTCGATGGTGTACCCGTGTGTGAAGAGTCCC